GCCCCCCCCCACCACCACCACCGTCCGGAGGAGGAGAAGGAGTAGGGTGACGAAAGTGCCAAAAAAACCACAAGCGCGAAAACAAAATAACGACTAAGGAGCAAACGAAGGCACCGCACCGCGCACGAGGGGCCCCGCGCCGCGCCGCCGCCCGATGATTAATAATTCATTATTAATTAATTAATAAGTAATTATACCACCCGCCGCCGCGCCGCCCCGCCCTGCGCCGCCCGCCGCCTCGCCGCGCCGCCGCCTCGCGCCGCCCTACCTCGCCCTCGAAAAAGAATTTTACAACCAAACTCCCTCGCACAACACTGGGCACGGGACTGGCGCGCACTGGCACTCACACAGGTAACTCCCGCAAGTCCCAGTAGGTAGGTAGGTAGAAAGGTGAAGAACAGCCAGGCTCGGACTGGACACCAACGCGGTATGGGTGGACGCTGGACAGATGATGACGACACGCACGAGCGACACACAGACACAAACAGGCTCACAAGACACACAGCCAGCTGGCTGCCACACACCCTGAGTCGGCGTACACATAACTCAGGGCCACATCCTCCCTGTCGCCCCCCCCAGCACTCCACGGTGCCAAGGGCACAAACAAGGGCACAACTCAAACAACAGACGACAGGAAGTGACATGTGAGGCTAGAGCAGCTTGCTCCACCTCTAGCAATCTCACCGGCCTGCGAGGCACGGACGAGACCGTATGTGGGGTCTAGTGAGGTGTCTATGGACGCTCTCCTCATGGGCTAGCTGCCTCTGCTAGCCATCCCAGTGTAGTGCGAAAAAAGAAAGTGTGTGCCGCACAACATGCAGCCAACGTCGTGAAGGCAGCGGCGACCGGCAAAGTAGGAGAGCTGCGGAAGTGGCTCAGCAGCGACGTGGCCGACGTTAACGCGGCCAACGCAGCTGGTGACACGCTGCTGCACATCGCCGCCGGCAACGGCCACGAGCGGGTGGTCGAGCTGCTGCTTCAGCGCGACGCGGAGATCAACAAGCAGAACAGCGACAGCGCCACCGCGCTGATGCACGCCGCCCTCGCAGGCCACGAGCGAGTGGTCGAGTCGCTGCTTCAGTGCGGCGCTGAAGTCAGCCAGCACGACGGCACCGGCGTCACCGCGCTGATGGGCGCCGCCTTCAACGGCCACGAGCGGGTGGTCGAGCTGCTGCTTCGGCGCGGCGCGGAGATCGACCAGCAGGACAGCAATGGCGTCACCGCGCTGGTTATCGCCGCCTCCAACGGCCACGAGCGGGTGGTCGACTTGCTGCTTCAGCGCGGTGCGGATGCCAACCTGCAGAACAGCTACGGCTGGACCGCGCTGATGCGCGCCGCCGGCCAAGGCCACCACGCCACCGTGCGCCTCCTGCTGCGGGCGGGCGCGGATACAAAGCTGCGCGCTGCAGACGGCAAGTCCGCGCTGCAGCTGGCCAAGGAGCAGGGCCACAGCGAGTGCGTCGAGGCCTTCCGGCAGCACATCGCGGAGGTGACTGCGAGCCACCGTGAGGCGGCGGCGGGCGGCGCGGGCGGCGCTTCCTCGGTCGAGGCGGCGGCGGGAGCGGGGGCCGCGGCCTCTTCCCTGGGCATCCTTCCCAAAGAGGCGGTGGACGCAGCTCTCCAAGGCGACGAGGCGGCACTGCTGACGTGGCTCGACAGCGGCGGGCGGGTCAACGCGACTTGCCGGGCGGGCGATGGGAGCGGCATCACGCTGATGATGCTCGCCGCCAACAACGGCCACGAGCGGGTGGTCGAGCTGCTGCTTCAGCGTGGCGCTGAGGTCAACAAGCAGGAGAGCAAAGGTCGCACCGCGCTGATGAACGCCGCTGGCAACGGCCACGAGCGGGTGGTCGAGCTGCTGCTGCAGCGCGGCGCGGAGGTCAACCTGCAGAACAGCTACGGCGTCACCGCGCTGATGCTCGCCGCCAGCGGCCACGAGCGAGTGGTCGAGCTGCTGCTGCAGCGCGGCGCGGAGGTCAACCTGCAGAACAGCTACGGCGTCACCGCGCTGATGCTCGCCGCCAGCGGCCACGAGCGGATGGTCGAGCTGCTGCTGGGGCGCGGCGCGGAGATCAACAAGCAGAACAGCTACGGCGGCACCGCGCTGATGGTTGCCGCCGTCAAAGGCCACTCCGCCATCGTGCTCCGCCTGCTGCGGGCGGGCGCGGATACGAAGCTGCGCTCTGAGAATGGCAAGTCCGCGCTACAGCTGGCCAAGGAGGAGGGCCACAGTGAGTGCGTCGGGGCCTTCCGGCAGCACGTCGCGGAGGTGGCTGCGAGCCGGCGCGAGGCGGCGGCGGGCGTCGCGGGCGGTGCTTCCTCGGGCGAAGCGGCCTCTTCCGGCTCGCTGGGCCTTCCCGAAGAGGCGTTTGAAGCGGCCCTCCAAGGCGACGAGGCGGCGCTGCTGGCGTGGCTCGACAGCGGCGGGCAGGTCAACGCGACTTGCTGGGCGGCCGGTGTGAGCGGCGTCACCGCGCTGATGGCCGCCGCTCAGGAGGGCCACGAGCGGGTGGTCAAGCTGCTGATTCAGCGCGGCGCGGAGTTCAACCTGCAGGACAGCGTCGGCGGCACCGCGCTGATGCTCGCCGCTGGCCACGGCCACGAGCGGGTGGTCGAGCTGCTGCTGCAGCGCGGCGCGGAGATCAACGTGCAGAGCAGCTACGGTTTCACCGCGCTGATGGGCGCTACTCTCAACGGCCACGAGCGGGCGGTCGAGCTGTTACTTCAGCGCGACGCGGAGATCAACCAGCAGAACAGCAATGGCGACACCACGCTGATGGCCGCCGCCTTCAACGGCCACGAGCGGGTGGTTGACTTGCTGCTGCAGCGCGGCGCGGAGGTCGACCCGCAGAACAGCACTGGCAACACCGCGCTGATGTTTGCCGCCGGCGAAGGCCACCCCGCCATTGTGCGCCACTTGCTGCGAGCGGGCGCCGATACGACGGCGTTCAATGCGAGCGGCAGGACAGCGCTGCAGCTGGCCGAAGAGAGGGGCCACAGCGAGTGCGTGCGCGCCCTCGAGGAGCACGCGGCGGCGCAGTCAGCGGCGAAGGAGGCAGCGCAGGCAGCGGCGAGGGAGGTGGAGAGTGCGGCGGCAGAGGCGGAGGCGGCGCGGCATGCCGAGGCGCTGCTGGCGGAGGAGGAGGCGGAGAAGGAGGCGGGGCGCGCCAAGGAGAGTAAGAAGGGGAAGAAGAAGAAGAACAAGAGCGGCGGCGGCGAGGCCGTCGTCTCGGCTCCGGGCCCCAGCGGCGCCGCCGCCTCGGCGCCGACACAACCTCCTCCAGTCGCGCCGCCCCTGCCGGCCGACGCAGCCGCCATCGCCGCGGCGGACGAGGCTCTGCAGCAGGCTGTGACCGCTGGTGTGTACGAGGGCGTGGCGAGTGCGCTGGAGGCGTGCAGCGGCGTCGCGAGCCCGGCCGTGCTGGCGGCGGCGAAGCGTGCGCGCGACAAGCTCAAGGAGGCGCGAAGGCGGGACAGCCAGCGCTTGCGCAAGGCGCATGGCGCGGCGATGGGCGCGCTCAAGTCGCTCGACACGGCAGACAGCCCCTCCGCGCTCCGAGCAGGCATCGCTGCCGCCAAGGCGCACGTGGGCGTGCTGCCGGCGCTGAGCGAGGAGGTTAGCGCGGCGGAGTCGAAGCTGGAAACTCTGTCTGTCGCCGCCGAGCCTGGACAGAGCAGTACTACTGCTCCGCCCATCGAGGTCAACTTGTCGGACCTCGCCGCGGCTACGGACGGGTTTGCCGATGGCAAGCTGATCGGCAGCGGCGGATTCAGCCGCGTCTACGAGGCGTCGGCCGACCTCCACCTCTCCCTCTCCGCGCCGCCGCAGCTGCGCCACTTGCCGCTTGTCGTGAAGCGGGCAAAGTCGGGGCAGTCGGGCGGCTTGTCACGGGCGGAGCTCGAGGTGAAGCTTCTCAAGGCGGTGAGTCACCCGCACCTGCTGCCGCTGCTCGGCTACTGCATCTCGCCCGACGGCATCTGCCTCCTCTCGCCACTGATGCGCGGCGGCTCGCTCGAGGCGCGGCTGCGCCTCTCGGATCCCGACCGCGCGGCGCAGCTCCGGCGGCTGGGCATGGAAGAGCCGCCGAGGCCGCTGACGTGGCGGCAGCGCGTTCGCATTGCTTGCGAGGCGACCGAGGCGCTCGTCTACCTCCACTCGAAGGGCATCGTGCACCGCGACGTCAAGCCGGACAACATCCTGCTCGACGAGAAGCTGACCGCCGTCCTCGCCGACACTGGTTTCGCCAAGGACCAGCGTCCCGACGCGTCTGTCCGCTGCCGCTCGACCGCCCTCTACATGTCCACGGGCTACCTCTGCCCCTCCATCTCCAAGGGGGGCGAGTACTCACCAAAGACGGACGGCTACGCCATCGGGATCACCCTCCTCGTCTGCCTCACCAACCGGTCCGAGGTGCAGCTCACCGACCGGTGCGAGGAGGAGTTTGACGAACTCTGGACCAACATCGACGCGTCCCAGATCTCAGACGTGGCGGCGGGGTGGACCGCAACTGCTGCGCGCGCGGTCAAGGACCTCGCGCAGTCGGGGGACGGGCAGAAGAGCCTCTGCCACAACAGCTTGCGCAACCGCTGCACGCTGCCCGGGGCGCTCACGACGCTGCGAGCGCTGCTGTCTAGCGGTGCGGGGGCGGAGGAGGCTGCGCCGGCACTTGGAGACGAGGCCGCCACCGCAGCCGCCCGCACCACCGGCTACGAGCCTTCGCCGCTCTCGGTGCAGGTGCGCGGCATGCGCACGGGCGGCGACGCGCAGGCGCGCATCCAGGGCAACATGCTGCTCGCCTTCAACACGCTGATGCCGCGCCTCGACAGCGTCTACGCCTCGCGCTCTGCGGCGGCGCCCGACGGCTTCGAGGAGCGCATCAACTTTTGGCACCGCGAGTGCGGCCTGCCGACCGATCTGCGGAGCCAGCTGCACTCGCTGCGCATCTGGGCGAACGCGGCGAGGCACCACGACGCGGCGAGGTGGCGGAGGGACGGGCCGCGCAGCGAGGGGGAGGCGTCGCGGCTCGTGGCGGCGGTGACGGAGGCGATCGGGGCGCTCGAGGCGGGATGACAGCCACCGCGGAGCCGTGGCCGCCGCCCTCGTCGAGGCGCTCCGCTCCCCCGACGCCGCCAACCGCGACTACTCGGTGTGGCGGCGGAGGAGGGGCGCGAGTTCCCTGCAGTGCACAGTGCCAGCGAACACGCTGCAGCCGACGGCGGAGTTTCTCAGAGGCCGACGGAGTTTTACTTTTAGCCGACGGCAGTTTCAGCTCGACCGAGGTGAAAAAATGGGTCAGAGAGACGAGGGTACGGCTGAGAGAGTGTAGAGAGGAGCTGGGGGCCTGCGGCGAGGAACACACACCGGTACGTTGCTGGGTTCACAGCGATTGGGACGCCCGGTCGCGGCCTTCCCACTCGCGCCTCCGCCTCACTGGCACTATTGTAGCCCTGGCCGGTGCGCGTGTGAAGTTGAAGTTTCGGAGTGAAAATTCGAACGCGTTCTCTCACGGTGACCAAAAATTGTCCACCTCAGAGGCACCTCCGGAGGCAGGCCGCCGCACGCCGGCGACACAGCTCCAGCTGTCGAACTGACCCGCAGCTCCTCTCAGAGCGGAAACTGTGACGAAAGTTGAATGAGGCGGTTGTCAGGAACCATCATACGGATCACATGGTGGCTCTCTCATGACGGGAGACCGCCCGACCACTCCTGGGTGGCACTGCCACCGGTGTCGCTCGACGTCCTCACCGCCGGTCCTGTCGACAGCGTGCCGACAGCGACACAGACCATGTGGGACGCGTCGAGTACGACCTCTACTGCTTACCCAGCCTTCGAGTGTACCCTGGCTGTGGTCCCACACCCACTGGTGTCCATCTCAGAGACCGCAGGAGGTCATGAGGGTCGATGGGAGTGCCAACCCCACAATGTGCCTAAAAACCCAACCCAGCGTACTTTGTACCACGGCCAGACGGCCACCAGCTCTAGCGAGAAACGCGCCCGGCAAAACCGCTCCCACGCTGGCACCGTGCTGTCCCTCTCAGTGGGCCGCCTCAAACAGGTGCGACCACTCTTTTTCACCAGGGAACTCGCGCCCCTCCTCCGCCGCCACCGAGTAGTCGCGGTTGGCGGCGTCGGGGGAGCGGAGCGCCTCGACGAGGGCGGCGGCCACGGCTCCGCGGTGGCTGTCTCCGGCCCCCACCTTGTCGGTGGCGGTGAGGGCCGCGGTGAAGCCCGGCCCGGGCAGGGTGTCGCCGCGGACGAGCTTCACTTTGAGCGCGGAGCAGTCGTACAGCAGCCGCCTGTGAACCAGTGCCGACGAGTGTGAAGGAACGTTTGAAGACATTCGACCGCCTAGCAGTCGAGTCGCAGCCCGCCAGTTGACAATGTCCTGCTGGCCGAGCTCGTAGAAGGCCGGCGTGAGGAGCGACGGCTCGCCCTATGGAGAAGGTGTTCCGAGAGGCTTCACTGAGGGTCCAAAGGGTGGAGGCGCGGCGGCGGCGAAAGCTTGGCCCACCGACCGCTCGTCGCCCTCCTCGCCCGAGCACCCCGACCCGCCGCCCTTGAGCGTGCCGGCGCGGATCACCGTCCACTCGACGCCCGCGGCGCCGCTCATCCTCGCGACCTCCGCCTCCATCGCCTTGTAGCTCGCCACAGCCTGCGCATTGGCGGCCCAGACGTCCTTATTGGCGGCCGTCTTGGCGGCAGAGGCGAAGAAGCCCATGCCCTCGCCGTTCAGGTAGCGGCTCATCACGGCGACGCGCCTTAGCGCGCTGCTCGGCTGCAGGAACGTCTCGAGCACCGGCTTGCCAAAGGCGCCCTCGTTGTCGATCGCGAGGATGAGGCCCTCTGCGGAGGCGGCCGCAGCCTCGATGGCCTCCTCCGAGGCCTCGGGGCCGGCCACGGGCATGAAGGTCAGCGGCAGCGAGCCGAGGTCTCCTCCCTCGCTCACCAGGCCAGGGCCGAGCTCGCAGTCGCCGGGAGGCACCAGGCAGGTCGTGCTGAAGCCGCGCACGGCAGCGAGCTTCGCAGCGCAGAGGCAGACGGGCCCGCTGCCGACGACGAGCACCTTGCTGCCCGGGCTGATGACGGTGGCAGAGTGGGCGATTAGGACGGCGATCATCGTTGACGAGCAGCGGCGAGAGCGGCACAGCCCCACCCTAGCACCGATGAAGCAGAGCCAAAAGAATTTTAGAAAAACCGCGCACGACCAAAGCCAAAAGAATTTCCAAGGGCGCCCGGGCCGCTGCGGGTTTGGGAGTTATGCTTAGGCACAGCTTCGGCGATGGCAGCCTCTCTCTGGGGTGTTGCATAGGCGGGGAGTCTCCCCGCTGGTCTCATCCTTACCATTTTCCTTGTTGTTGTTCTTTTGAGAGAGTTTGTTGTTCTTTTGAGAGCAGAACGCCGGGTTTGTCTTGTGCCCCGTTTGTGCCGCGTCCCGTGCCCCCGAGTTCATTTTATAAAATTTGTCTTGTATGGGCGTGTCGGGGGTGTGTGACAGTGAGGATGGCGGAGGACTAACTCTAGTCAAAAAGAATCTGAATTTCGGCCGGCTGTCGCTCGGTGAAACCGAACTTCGCCCGACCGCGCAGCCCGTCGCGCCAACCATTGTATATGTCTCTGCTGCCCATTCTCGTCGCTCTCGCCCCTTGCGCGCACGCCTTCGCCTCGCGGGCTCTGACGGCTGCAGTCGACGGCGTGTGCCGCAACGGGGACTGCGGCTGCGGCCCACCCTGGGCTGCGCCGTGGTGCAATGATCAAAACAGCGTGATCCAGGGCTGGTGCAGCGAGTCGGAGGCACACTGCGACCTGTGCGCCAACACGGACTGGTGCTCGGATGCCTCGTCGCCACCTCCACCCCCGTCCGCGCCGCCTCCCCCGTACGCACCATCCATGTGCACTTGCGGCGCCGGCACGTCGAAGAATGACAGCGGCGAATGCGTCGCAAACTGCGGAGCCGGCACGGTGCTCGAGGGTAATGAGTGCAAGGCGGTGCCACTGCCGCAGTCGCCGCCTCTCCTTCCGTCTCCGCCGTCGCCACCACCGCCGCCACCACCGCTGCCACCCTTCTGGCCGCACGTCTCCCCTTTGCCGTCCACGCCCCCCTCGCCGCCGCCATTGGCGCCCGGCCAGGTCGAGATCCCTGCCTCCGAGTTCACTCTTCACGTTGGCACGGCTGCTGACGGACGCCAGCTACTGTTTGCCACCCTGAGAGCCCTCGCGGCTATCGACATGGATGCGGTCGAGAAGGCAGTGATCGACTCGCTGAAGGAGGCGGGCGTCATCGTCACGGCCGCGCAGATTACCCTTCTGGACCTCGGCAACGGCATGATCAAGGTCACGATCTTGCAGGACGGGGCAGGGCCGACGGCAGAGATGGTGACGGAAGCCGCGGAGGAGCCGATCTTCCTCGAGACCATGGAAAAGGACCTAGGCACGCCGGTCGACTTTGCGGTTGAGCCCACCACGGATGTCATCATCGTCGTCTCGGCACCGCCGTCGCCGCCGTCGCCACCTCCACCGTCGCCGCCCCCGCCGTCGCCCCCGCCGGACTGTGACCACGCATATGAAGAGGGGTGCGTGGCTGCCGGGGGCACCTACGACATGTCGGACAAGACGTGCATGCCCGCGGCGGCATGCCCTCCTCACTCCCCTCCACCTCCACCTTCTCCTCCGCCTTCCCCACCATCGCCGCCACCATCGCCGCCCCCGACATACGTCGTTCCAGACAGGGAATCTCTTCAGGCCGCGATCGACCTGTGGTGCAGCGACGAGGCGGCGGCGCTGGTCACCTACGGCCCGATCTCGAGCTGGAACGTGCGGGCCATCTCCGACATGTCGAATCTGTTCGCCAACAAGGCAACGTGCAACCCTGACATCGGCGCCTGGGACATGAGCAGCGTCACGGACACCAGCTGTGCGCCCTCGGCCTCTGAAGCTCTCTCGGCAAACCCCATCTCACCGTGCCCCCGCCTCGTGTGTGCGTGTGCAGCGATGTTTGCCGGTGCGAGAGCCTTCAACCAGGACATCAACAGCTGGGACATGAGCAGCGTGACGAGAACCGACTGTGCGTTCCTCCCCACGCCTCTGCAATCGTGTTTAACTCCCCTCGTCCCAGCTCATCTCGTCCCGCCGCGTTTGCGTGTGCAGTCATGTTCAGTGGCGCGACCTCCTTCAACCAGCTGATCGATAGCTGGGACATGAGCAGCAACATGAACACCGCATGTGTGTCCTCCCTGCGCCTCTGAAGCCTGCAGCCTCTCCGCGGCTCCTAACCGTCCCGTGTGCAAGTAGACATGTTCTCGAACGCGGAAGCCTTCGACCAGCCAATCAACAGCTGGGACATGAGCAGCGTCATGCGCACTGACAGTGCGTCCTCCTCGCGCTCTGCAGCCCTTTCCGCCACCCTCGGCCAAATTCCACCAAACCCTGCCTCGTGTGCGCAGACATGTTCTCAGGCGCCTTGTCCTTCAACAAGCCGCTCAACAGCTGGACCATGAGCAGCGTGACAAACACCGAATGTGCTTCTCCCCACCGATTCTCTGTTGCCATCATCCGTCACCCCGCCATCCTCACCAAACCCGCCTCATGCAGACATGTTCTCGGGCGCGGCCGCCTTCGACCAGCCGATCGACAGCTGGGACATGAGCAGCAACACGGACGCCGCTTGTGTGTCCTCCCTACTCCTCTGCAGCCTTCTCTGCACGCCCAGCCCCACCTCACAGAGCCCCTTTCGTGGTATTCGTAGATATGTTCCAACTCGCGGCCTCCTTTGACCAGCCGCTCGACAGCTGGGACATGAGGAACGTCAGGTTCACCACAAGGATGTTGTTCAGCGCGGCCTCCTTCGACCAAGACATCAGCGATTGGGACCTCACGTCCAATACTCGATGCACTGAAATGTTTCTGGACGCGGCATCGAACAGCTGCACAATCTCGTCCTCCTGCAAAGCCATCTCGTGCTAGTCTGCCTCCATGGATGATTTGATGCTCGAGCCCAAATGAACATATGAGTCGACCAAGGTATGAATCGAGAGGGTGGTTGGGGCGAGGATCTGGCAGCGTCGCCGGGGACGGCGGCGGATAGGGCGAGACAGCGGACGACGGCTGTGCTTACTGAGCAACACTGCCGTTCTAGTAGTGACGCGCGAGCGTGTGAAACTCGAGCGAGAGCCGAGAGTTGTCGGCCGGGCAATCTCACTCTCGTCAGCAGCTACCGTGTCCGGGTCCGCGACCGTGGGGAGAGGTGTGTAGTGCAAGGCTGGGTTGCCCCTTCTTGCCCCACCACTTTGTGTGTGGGGGGAGAAATTTACCTTACCTTACCTTATACCCGGCCACCAGTGGGTGTGGGACCACAACCCGGGTACACTCGAAGGCAGGTAAGCAGCGGAGCCGGAGGGCGACTTGGTCTGTCGCGAGGTGGAGGGGTATACGGTAGCGGAGCCCAGGTGTGGACGGGGTTTTTGCGGGGTATCTTGGTGTATCTCTCGTCTCCATATCTGACCGTATCCCGCCGTATCCCGCCATATCCCGCCATATCCCGCCATATCCCGCCATATCCACATGCACCCTTGCGATGCTTCATCGATGATGACGAGCTCTCGCCAATCATAGGCGGAATCGAGCGCGTAGCCGCACGGCCGGTCGAAGCGCGAAGTTCGCCCGTCGCGTCCGATTTGCGGTTTCACGCCGGACGTCGGCGTGAACACATCGTGGGGGTTCCGTATCTCATCATATCCACGTGTATCTCGTGGTGTCTCCCGGTATCTCCCGGTAAGCGGTATCCCATATCCCGGCGGATACCGCGAAAAAAACCGTCCACACTAGATTCGCGGGTAGAGGGAGAGGACCGTGAGTTGAGGAAATCGCGGGAAGCGACCCACTTCGCCACAGACGGTCCCTCGCCTCGCCACTATGACGGGCACACGCCCCGCACCGTCCGCTGTGTGCCCGTCTTTGTCCGGAGTGAATACTCCAACGCGCTCGTCGGTGACGGTGTCCCCCAACCTGCGCCGCGCTCGGCGAACCTCGACAGCGCCTTCGGTGGCATGCAGCTCTTTGCGACAGAAGCCTGGAGAGCAGCTCCTCTGCTGCTCACACACTCTGCACAGTTGACACAGCCTACTGTGCGGCTGCCACAGCTGTGACAGCGATGGGCTCGCCCTCACTGGCCCTCAGTCACTTGTGCTGCGGCTTGTGTGAGCGACACTGCTCGGCGACTGCCGGCACACTGTGAGACCATGGGTGTGAGGTTGAACCACGCTACCAGCGCTTGGTCACATCGGCCCCGAGGTCAGGTCCTTCTACTCTGTTAGTGACAAGACTTGTCTACTCGCTGGAGCCGAGCAGGAGGGCCCGGCGCACAACCCCTGGTCAACTCAGGGTCCACACCCCGTAGGCTGCTCACACCCACGTGCACCGGGACAGTGCTTGCACTGGGACCTTTTGAATGCCGCGTGGGGCTCCTGCCCGTGTCCGGGTGTGGAGACGCGAGGGCGTCGCCCCCCCCTTCTTGCCCCACTACTTTGTGTGTGTGTGGAGAAATTTATACCTTACCTTACCTGGTCTGGGATCGCTGCTGTACTCGCTACTCTGCTCGCTCAGACCGCGACCGCCCTCGCGGGCGCCCGCTCGCCCACAACCTCCCCCCGCCCGTCCCCAGCGTCGTCCGGCTGCCTCGCTGGCGGCAGCCCGCCCTCCCGGTCGTGCCTCAGCTGCGAGCGCACCCTGTCGACCTCGGAGAGGGACGCGACCGCGCGGCCGAGCGCCGAGAGCGCGCGCGACGTGCCGAGCGTCGCCGCAAACATCGAGTTGTGCAGCAGCATGTCGGCGTTGCTCACCCTCAGCGCGACCGCGGATCGGCCCCGCTCCACCGCCGAAGCGAGCGCAGTGCGGTAGAGGCCGCCGAGCGCCTCTTGCTGCGCCTCGAGCGCCGCGAGCGCCTCGTCAAGCCGCTCCGCTGCGAAGTCGTCGTTTGCGCGCTCGTTGAGGACGGCGGCGGCGAGCGCGGGGCCAAAGGCGTCGGCCGCAGCCGCGAGCGAGTCGAGCGCCTCCCAAAAGGCGTCGAGCTCGGGCGGGATCCAATCGTGCAGGATCCACTCCACCTAAGGGGCGTGCCGTGGACGTGTCACCGGCGTGTCCGCGGACATGTCCGGTCGTGCGGGGTCAGAATCCACTCCACCGCCGACTGCTGCCTCGCCGCTTGCGTCTCGGCCGCCGTGACTGCTGCGTCGACGAGCTTGCGCGCCGCGTCGATGCTGGCGCCGAGCTTGGCGGCGGCGTACGGCCCACGCCACAGCTCGGGCTCGATACACGCCTGTCCGTATCATCCTCATCATGATTGAGGTGGTGGTACGGCCCACGGCTCGGGCTCGATGCACGCCTCGCGGTGCAGAGTGCCGACGGAGGAGAGTGCGCCCTGCAGCCGCCGCAGCCGCGCGCCCACCGCCTCTGCGGCAGCCACCTGCTCCGTGTCGGCGCCGAGCCGCGTCAGAGGCTCCGACTCCCCCTTGCCGGGCGACCTGGCGCCGCTCGGCCCCGCGTCCGCCCCCTCGCCGCCAGCCTCGCCGCCGGCAGACCTGCCTCCCAGCCCGAGGCGCCACTGGCGCGCCCCTGCGGCGTGCACGCCGGCCGCCTCCGCCGCGACCTTTGCGAGCTCGGCCCGCACTCCGTCGCGCGCCCAGCGTGGGAGGACGGCGTGGACGACGCAGAGCATGACGGCGGCGCCGAGGAAGGAGTGAGTGATCCTCTCGAAGGCGACCTCGCGGCTGTGGGCTGCCGAGACGATGGCGGCCGTCCACGCGGCGACGCACGCCGCGTACCCGTGGCGGGAGGCGCGGCCGAGCGAGCAGAGGAAGCCCCAGCAGGCGAGGAGGGCGAGCAGGGCTGTGTCCGAGCCGTGGCACGCGACGACCATCAAGTACCCCGCGATGGCGCCGAGCGACGAGCCGAAGACGCGCATCATCGACTGCGAGACGGAGCCGCCCACGCGGTCAAAGATGATGAAGGACACCTCGACCGGCGCGAAGACGGCGTAGTCGAACTCTTCGCCCGGCAGGTGGAGGAAGAGGGAGGCGAGGGTGATGGAGAGCGAGAACTTGACCGCGCGCTCCAGCCGCGCGCGGTCTCGCAGAGCGCCGAGCCGCGGCATCGCCAGCCGCGGCATCGCCAGCCGCGGCAGCAGCCCGCGCGAAAAGGAGAAAGCGGAGGCGGAAGAGGCGGAGGCGGAAGAGGCGGAGGCGCAGGAGGCGGAGGCGGAGGCGGAAGAGGCGGAGGCGGAGGCGGAGGCGGAGGCGGAGGCGGCGGAGGCGACGGAGGCGGAGGCGGCCGGCTGGGCTGCGTGTGACGAGGCCGAGGGCGGCAAGAGGCGATCTCGCGACACGGTTAGAGCGAGCTGGATGGCGCTGAGGAGGAACGGGTTGACGATGAGGGCGTAGCCGTCGCGGTACTCGGCGATGTCGCCCGCACGCTCCTCTGGCGAGTAGAAGAGCGCCTGTTAATGAACGGATTAACTAACTGATCAGCTGCTTGGCGCCGCCGGCCCGCTCCTCTGGCGAGTAGAAGAGCGCCTCCCTCGCGCGTTGGAAGGCTGCAGTCACGCCAGCAAGTGCCCGCCGCACCGCCACAGCGTCCTGCCGGCGCAACGCAGTGGAGAGCTCGCGGAGCGGCGCTCCTGACGGACGTGCCGTGGACGCGTCATGGACGTGTCGCGGACATGGCGGCGCAGCAGCGCGCGGAGAGCGAGTGGCGCGCCCAGCTGCGAGACGAACGCGGCGTGCGTGCTGCTCGACCGGCCGCCAGAGCGGGAGCCTACAACACGAAACACAAGGTGCCGAGCCGAAAGACGTGTTTTTTTTTGTAGACCGGCCGCCCGAACGGGAGCCTCGCCGCAGCGCGCCGATGAGGGTGGAGAGATGCCGCTGCGCCGCCTCGACGCGCGCGCCTTGCTCCCCCGCCCCACCTCCTCCTCCTCCTCCTCCTCCGCCGCCGCCGCCGCCGCACTCCCACGCAGCGTCCTTGCGAAGGCGGTGCAGGGTATCAAACCGACGAGTCATTCTAGCATGCGTCAGCTCCAAGGAAACGCCTCCCGTCGGAGGGGGGCTGATCTCGGCTACGCTCGGCAAGTGGCAGCAGTGGAGGGGGGCCTGCTGATCTCGGCTCCTCTCGGCAAATGGGAAAGAGTAGAGGGGTCGGCTACTCTCGGCGAGTGGAAGCAGTGGCTGACCTTGCGGAGTCGGTCGAGCTCGCGAGGCGCCGCCCGAGCGAGCTGGAGGAGGAAGGAGGCGCGCACGATGCGCTTGCCTTGGGAATCGATGGAGTATTAATCAACAACTAGTTCTTGAGGGAGGAGGCGCGCATCGATGCGCTTTGCCGGAGCAGAAGACCTGCAGAGAGGGGCGCGGAGGAGGGTCGTGCAGAGGATCAATTATACATTGGTGATGCATTCATACTTAATTCATGGGAGGCGCAGAGACGCATGCGCATTGCCGGGGCAGAACGCCTCGATGAGCTCTCTTCATATAACTAATCAACAAGTAATTCATACTTAATTGATGGAGTCGCCTCGATGAGCTCGTCGTAGCAGTCGAGGACGAGCCGCTCTGCGCGCGCAGACTCGGCGGCCAGCTGGCGGCGCGCGGACCGCACGGGCGGCATGGCGGACGCGACGACGGCGCACGCGACGGAGAGCGCGTTGAGCGCCAGGAAGAGGAGGGTGTGGGCCGGGCGGAGCGCGGCGTCGCTGCCGAGCGGCGCGAGGGCGAGGATAGTGCCGCAGGAGAGGGCGAGCCGCATCGTGATGAGGTGCAGCTTGGCGTGCGCAATGCCGAAGGTCAGCGCCAGCAGGAAGAGCGTGGCAAACGCGGGGTGCTGCCGCACGGCGGCCGGCAGCGCGAGCGTGGGCAGGTTGATGATCGCCGCGAGGATGGCGCCGCGCAGGACGTCGGCCGACGTCCGGAGGGTTGCGCCCGGGTTGGCCTGGACGGTCACCACGGCGACAAAGGCGGCGAACGGTGCCTCGGGGAGCCGCAGCGGCGTGATGCCAGGAATGAAGAGGGCAGCGCCGGCGATGGTCAGAGAGAGCGACGTGCGCGCGGCCCATCTCACCTCAGCGATCCAGCCGCCGGTGGACATCGGTGCGGTACCCGCGGTGGCCGCGCGTGTTGGAGGCCGCACTTCAAGTGCTCCAACCCCGTCCCACTCCGCCCCGTCCCCCCCGGGTCCCCGGGGGGGGGGGGGGTACGCGGGGCAGCGCGCCGACGACAATGCGCCGCCGTGGCATCGCGGCGCCGACGACCAGGCTCAGAGGATGACCCCGGGTAAGCGTTCCCGTGCCTCGACAATTGCCGCTGGTAGGCGCGCCGCCGCGCCAAGCCATGGCGGGCGCGCCGCGGCCGCGCGCAACCTTCGTCACAATGCCAACCGCGCGCGGCCGTCGACCGGCAAGCACACGCCTCGACTCGGTCACAGTGTTCCGGGGGGAAGGGAGAGGGGCTGGCTCCTAGCCCGAGAGGAGAGCTTCCGAGACCCACTACATGACCACGCACACATCATCCCGCGGCCTGGCGGTCGGCGGGATTGCAACCAGTCTTCGCGTGCCGCCTGTCGTTCGCTCGGGCGCCTTGGGCGTCGGGGTGGCGAGCAGGGGACGCAGCTCTGAGCGCCCAGCGACGCGTGCCGGATGGAGTCCGGCCGCGGGTGACTAGGGAAGTTCGCCTCAGGATGTGTGGCAGTCAGTTTGGCTGAGTGTCTTGTCTTGTGGTTCTGTGTGTCGCTCCTGTGTGACCGTCATCGCCCGTCCTGCGTCCACCCATACCGCGTTGGTGTCCCAGTCGTTGGTCGGACTGTGTTTCGCCTTCCCATCAATCAATCAATCGGGGGGGTCAGTCTCTCACAACGAAACTCTCTCGCACACGCACGATTCACACAACAGGCAGTCTCTCAATCCAACTGAAAAAGTCCAAGGTCACGCACAGACAGCAGCTTGTTCTGAACGCACGGATAACACACCACGGCACTCAGCATAAAGAAGAGAGAGAGATTTTTAGCACAATGCAAACAACCGCTCACGCAGCGAGAGTGGCATAAGGTGACTGATACACCGTTGCAGTCTGTCCTGTGAATCGTGCGTGTGCGACAGCCTTCCTTTCAAATTCTTTTTCGTTCTTTTTATTTTCTGAGCTGACCACACCCCTGCCCAACGCGGCCAAAGGGTATCCACCTCGAGAACCTTTGATGAATGGGAAGGCGAAACACAGTCCGACCAACGACTGGGACACCAACGCGGTATGGGTGGACGCTAGACGGGCGATGACGGTCACACAGGAGCGACACACAGAACCACAAGACAAGACACTCAGCCAACGAGAACACCCTGCGCGGTCCGCGGCCCTCTAGAGTGTGAAGGGAACACCTGGACGGACGAGTTTCATGGCGGCGTGCATTTCCGTCCTCGCCTTCGAGCAGTTGCCGTGGCTGCGCATTCTCATGCGCAACGCGCTTGACTTTTCGGAGGCCAACACACGAGTCGTCATGCACCTGAATGTCGACACGGCCTACAGCAATCAGACGATGGCGTCGCTCGCCCGACACGTAATACTGGCAAATGGACGACTGAGCATCACTCCTGGCCGGCTTGGCGTCTCAAGAGCTAGCGTGACCATCCTGCTCGCGCACCTGCTGAACGTTGTGCACATGGACACCGCTTGGCCAAATCACTGTCAGTACGCCGTGCTGCAGGCCTCCAACATGCTGTGGGTGCGACGTGGCTGGGAGGCATCTGTGCGGCAGCTGCGCTGCTCGGCGAGTCCAGCTCCGCTCGCGGCGAACGCGGCAACGCGCAAGGTGCGCAGCGTTCCATTCTACCAGACCATCTCGCCGCACGTCGACCGTGGGCGACACGGATTTGCTTACCACGAGGGAAGCTTTTATCCACTGTCGGTCTTGCGAGCCTTCATCGGCCACTTTGAGAAAAATGCCGAATGGACCACCTCGAGGTGGAGCCACCTCAAGAGCTCCACTCCCACATGGACCAACCCGCAGACTACTCTTCTCGCCGCGTTGACAGCCGAAGCCGCGTCCTCCCCACCTGCTCAGCGCAAGCTCACGCTCATGCTGCAAGCTTGGACGAAGCCGCTGCTCTATCCCGAGGAGGTGCTGCTGCCAACGTGGAGTCTGCAGCGTGCGGAGTGCGAGCCGCTGCGCCCACGCCCATGGGACGCACAGGACTGGCAGCTTTGCTGGCGCTCGAGAGATGAAATCCGCAAGGCGCAATCGATCGTCTCGCCGGCGCAGCTCCGCGAAGTGCTTGCCAACCGGAGTCACCGGTTCTACGCGGTGAAGCGCGTGCCACGCGGTGCTGAAGGGCATCCGGTGGTCGTCGCCATCCGCGCCCTGGCGCGCACACGCACCAAATAAATAAATAAAACAGACAGCTCTACTAGGAGATTGGTAAAAAGGAACCGTTCCCCGCGCCCGTGCGCGGTCTTTGTGCAGGGTTCTTTGTGGGTGTGGTCGGCGACTAGCCCGCGGGGTCGTCCTCCCGGAAGCTAGCACTACCCATCTAGGACCAAACAAGGGGTGGGAGAAGGACAGGGTCCCCACCTGCGCGAGCGGGATCTTGTAAAGGCCCTCCGAGCAGCGCGCCGAAACACCTGGCTAGAATTCTTTGTTTCCATGGCTACTGCCGGCGACGGGACCGCCGTTCCAGCGGGGCGCGGTGCCACTCTACCTACACCTGGCCTCGCGCGCGGTGCTCGCCACACCACCTCGCACCCTTCCTGGCTCCTCACGCGAGCTGACGGCGGTCAGTGATGTCTCACCGGGCGAAGCGGCGCTCGTGGCGGCGCTCAACGCCGCGGCGCGGCAAAGCCTGGGCCCCGCGAACGCGCAGCCAGTGTCGGGCCTGCACCAGTGCGGCCTCACGGCGTCCGTCCCGGCCGTCCTCCCTCCGCATCTCATGGCGCGCCCTCCACAGCCGAACGCCAGCGCTCCGTGTACGCAACTCACGAGAGGTGTCGAGTCGCCCGCCGAGACAGCCATTCGCTTCTTAAGAGCCTACGTGTGGGAGACGCTCGGCGTGGTCGTCGAGATGCGGGCGCCCCCCTCCGGTGCCGCGGGCGCCGCCGGCGCAGCAGCGGTGGCAACGGAGGCGGCGGGAGAGGCGCGAGCGGAAGCAGAGGCGGCAGGCGGGGCGGTCGGCTCGTGGTTTGCTGCCGAGTGTCACGTGGACGGCTTGCTCCTCGGACGCGCGGTCCACCACACCGCCCACCTCGCGTGCGGCGTCGCGGCGGAGGATGCGTTGCTCCTCCTCTGCCCTCTGAAATGGGAGGCGGTGCTCGGCAACCCGGAGCTGTGGCCGCACGTCGCGATGCGCGGCGGCAGGCTCGTTCCTCTACCGCGCGCCTCGCCGCCTCTGCAGTCGCTCTCGGTGTGGGACGATTCAATCGTGGACGCCAACGAGTTTGTCTGGACAACCCGCACGCCAGCGCAGGTGCTCGCTGACCTCGCGGCGCTCCGGTTCGGAACCACCCAGCCGTCGGCGCACCACGAGGTTGTGGAGCGGCTCCTCCCTGCGATCGACGAGCACGCCCCCTCGCGGGTGCACCGCCTCACCACGCGGCTCGGGAGCCTAGAAGCGGAAGACGTACTGATGTGCCCCAACTAGCGCCCGAGAGGACACGGATTCCGCCGTCTTCCCGCCCTCATGTCGGCGTATTCAGCACGTAGGCTCGGGAAGTACGTCGGCGTTGGAGAGGGCGTGTGCCGCCGGCGGGCGGCGCAGCTGTCCAAGCTCGAGGTGGTGCGCGAGGCTCTGCGCGAGCACTACCCGCAGCTGCAGCTGTGGAGCGACGTGGTCGCCTTCTTCAGCGACGATGCCAAGCGCGCGCCTCGGCGTGCCGGAGACGCAGCCCCTCGCCCCGGAGACGCAGCCTCTCGCCTCCCCTCTCGCACGCGCGCTTAGATGCAGACTAGATGCAGAGGGGGTTGGGTTCGGGTACCGTGGGGGTAGGGGGCTCTGACCGTGGGCCGCATTCCCTCTCCCACGCAGAGGGCCGCCTGCACCGCTCGCACACCGCGCCTTGCAGCCACACACCGGTGCGGCATCCTCCCCGGAGTTCGTCGAGAGAGGCCCCTCGAGGGGCCGCCGCCGCCCGCACCGCACCAGTCTCTCCGCCGTCGCCGCCGTCGCCGCCGCCTCCGTCCGCCTCACCGTCGCCGCCGCCGCCGTCCGCCTCGCCCTCGCCGCGGCCTCCCTCCGCGTCGCCCTCGCCGCCGCCTCCCTCGACCTCACCGTCACTGCCGCCCGCACCGCACCTCACGGGTCGCTGACGGCCGCGCGCCTCTGCTGCCTGCCCGCCCTCGGCAGGCTCTGGCCTGGCGCAGCAGCTGCTCGAGGCCGACAAGAGGAGCATCCGCACCGACAAGCGGGCGGAGAGGGAGCGAGGCCGCAGCCAGGGCGCCGAGGGGGGCGGCGCCGACGGGTCTGCTCCCGGCGGATCCTCATCCGAGGGGGGGGCACCCGCCGCCCCGCCGCCCGCCACGGCGCGGCCAGAGGCCTCGCAAGCTTGCGCCGACGCCGCGCTGGCGGCGGCGGCCGACGGCGGCGGCGGCGGCGGCGGCGGCGGCGGCGGCGGCGGTGGCGGTGGCGGTGGTGGCGGCGGTAGCCGACAGCTCGCCGGAGAGGGTGCCGGGTTCGTCACGAGCTGGCAGAACCAGTTTCGCGTCGAGTCCGCGCGGCGGAAGCGGGTGGCGAGGGACGGCGAGGTCGGGGAGATCGAGACGCGCTTCACGATGAAGGAGATTGAGGCTGGGGCCGGCGGAGGCGCTCTCCGCAGAGGCGCGGCGGCGGCTGCGCGCGGCCATGGCGCGGCTCGAGGCGCTGGCCTCGGCCTCGGCTATCTCCGAGGCGATGCGGAGAGACGAGCCGTCGCACCTGAGCGCCGCTCTCGGCGAGGCGGCGGCGGAGAGCGGGGGTGCAGGTGGCCCGCCCCTCGCTCCGTCGGCGCGGCTTGGCGGGCTGGCTGCTTTGGGCGGAGGCAGAGGCGTGCGGCAGTCCGAGCTGGAGGAGCCGCAGCAGCAGCAGGCGGCGGTGGAGGCGGTGGACGCGAGCAGCGCCGCGCCCGCCGCGAAGCGAGCGAGGAGGGCGTGGGCGCCGTGGAAGGCGGGGACGAAGGGCCACGCCGCACTAGCGGAGGGAGGCGGGCGCGTTTGGCGGTCAGCGGGCGGCGCCCCAAGGGAGAGGGCGGTCGGAGCTGAGGCTGCTCGGATGAGATAGTAGTTAGTACGTCCGACACGCGACAGCAGGAAGCGAAAATGGGGTAAGTATACAACAAAACGTAGCGGATAAAACTCGCCGCCGCAGGCTCAGACAGAGGCCCATGCGTGCAGAACGGGGGGGGGTGCGGTGAGCACCAACAGTCACACAACACACGTACCGTAGCGCCCAGGCGCAGTCTCCGCAGACAGACAGGGAGAACGAAGAGGACAAAACACAAAACTCGCGCCGCAGGCGCAGACAGGCAGGGAGAACGGGTGGGAGCACAAAACGTACCTGTCCGCAGGCGCAGACAGGCAGGGAGAACGGGGAGCACAAAATCTACAGCAGGCCTGGCGAGGCACTCCAACGCCTCTCGGGGTTCGCCAGCAGCAGGCGCAGACATGCAGGGAGAAGGGGAGGGGACAAAACGCTTGCGCCGCAGGCGCGCAGGCACAGCTTGTCTGGCCCAAACGCTTCCAGTGCTAGCTAGTGAACATGCGTGGAGGTGGTGGTGCGAAATGGTGGTGGTCAGACGATCTGGCTCATCTGGGCATGCGGCGCTGCCGACTCTTCGCAGGCTTAGGCAAGGTCCTCGCCACTCGACCGACACGGCTCCATCTTTGAAGAGGAGCCGCGGGGCTGCGTCGTTCGAGCGAGGGCGGTGACGCGGCGAACGCGCGACTGAGCCGTCTGCTTGGTCGCGCCGAGCGCCTGTGCGAGGAGGGCTATCGACACCTGCCGGTGCGGGCCAGCGTGGCAGCCGACGGCGAGGTCATGGTACAGCCCATCGGCGATCAGGTCGCGCGGCGTCACCTCGAAAAAGTGGGCAAAGATGCAGCCGCCGCGGACGGCATCATTCTCGTGCGCCATGACGATCGGCAGCCTGGCCTCGCGCGCGGCGCGCACCTGCTCTGCGAGCGCCTCGGCGCCCTCGCCGGCCCACGTCGCCTTGTTCAGGTAGAGCAGCATGTGGGTCGCCTCGTCGCCGCCGCTGTCGCTCGCGCGAGGCAGCGAGGAGAGGAGCGAGGGAATCGCGTCGGTGACAGAGATGCTGCCAGCCACGGCCACCGCGACTGCATTGGCAAGCCCTCGCGCCCCGGCGTTCAAAGTCGAGGCCCAGAGAACCACCGGCTTGGGGAAGGCGAGGCCGTCGGCTCGGATCTCGCCCGGGATGCACAGGGGCAGCTCCTTTTCGCCCTCGTACTTTGGCGTCTTCAGCAGCAGCGCCTCGGCGATGACCTTGAGCGAGACGTGCTGGAAGGCCTCGATCCGATGCCACACCGCCATCGGCCAGCCGGCGTCAAAGATGGCGGCCCGCAGCTCCTCGGGGCACTCGGATCGCAGCTTGGCGAGCGTGCCTCCGCCCTTGTCCGGGTCTGCCTCGTGGACGAGCACGAGCGGCTTGCCCATCTCCAGCGCGGCGCGGATCTCTCGCAGGCAGTTTGTCGAGCGCAGGTAGCCCCGCGAGAGGAAGCAGAGCACCACCTGCGAGCGACCAATGTACGCCTCCAGCTCTCCGATGTTTTTGAGGTCGTCGACATCGAGGAAGATCTCGCAGCCGGGCAGGAACTGCAGAAGCTCATTCTTGATTACGGCGACGGCGTCCTACAAGGGAGGAAGGCCAGGTCAGGTCTTCTCCACACACGAAAACTGGCGGGGCAAGGAGTGCCAAACCTGCCCCGTGCTCCAGACATGGCTGAGGAAGAGGTGCCACTGCTGGCCGTCGGCGAGGGTGATGCCGTCGCGCATCGGCTCGCGTTTCGACGAGGCGAGCCGCATGGTCTTCGCCCTCGTGGCGCTGACCGCCGATACGAGGATGACGGCTAGCGAGATGGCGAGCATGACCGCGGTGAGGACGACGACAAAGGTTGTGGCGCTGCGCGAGGTCTTGTAGCCAACGAGGCCGTAGCACATGTCTTCGTACATAGTGCTATCGCACAGCTGCGGCGGCGGAGGGGGCGGGTGGTGTGAGGTTGCGCGGAGCTGTGAGAGAGGGACAGCGTGGGGCGCGGACCTGGATGACCACTCCCGACGCGAAGCAGCACGTGAGCAGCAAGTTGGCGATGCACGCCAGGTAGAGGTCGTCGGAGCGCCGGTAGGGACGGGCGAGGGCGAGGATGGTGAGAAACATGGCCGAGACGATGCCGGCGACCACGGTGCGCAGCAGCTTCCTGGAGCCGTACTCCTGGTCGATGAAGAGCACCATCGAGGTGAGGAAGATCTTGCGGACCAGGTCGAGCACCTCCCAGAAGAGGAAGCCGGCGGAGTAGTCCCGCCAGAGGAAGCTCGTCGCGCGAGAGAGCGGCGTTGCGCGCTGCGCAGCCACGGGCTTGCGGACGCGGAGCAGCAGCGCCAAGAAGCCGAGCGGCACGAGGACGGGCCAGAGGGCGAAGAAGGCCCAAAAGTACGGCGCGAGTCCGCTAGTCTTGTCGTCCCACGTCGGGCCGTCGTCGCACGTGAGCGAGGGGTCGGCGAGCAGGTAGCTGATCCGCTGGCCTGTGGCGTCGTCGTAGCCAAAGGACTCGCACAGCCTCGCGCTGAAGATGGAGCGCGAGACGGAGGGAAGCACCAGGTAGAAGATGAAGATCGCCCAGTAAAGGAGGCGGCCGAGCAGCTGGCGGTCGAATGCCTGCTTGACGTTGAGGACCGCCGCCGCCGCCACAATGGCGAGCGACACGAAGGCGACGGCGAGGTACGGCCAGATCCCTGCGACGAGCAGCCGCGTGCTCATGGCTCCGAGGCAACGGCCGGGGATGGCAACATCGAACAGGTCCAGGCTGAACAGCTTGAGCACGTTGAGCCAGCGCGTAAAGTGCTCGTCGAGGCGGACGCCGTAGACGACGCCGAGGATGCTGCTCACCTGGTAGAAGCCGACGACGATCTTGAACTTGGGCTGCAGGCCGACCTCGGACTCGATGCGGGTGGCCCGCTGCCGGAGGCGGCGGGAGAGGGGGAGGCGACGGAGCCCAGCGTAGACGGCGGCGAGCACAGCGACGACGATGACAAAGACGACAAAGACGCCAGCGGAGCGAGCCCTCGAGGGGCAGGCGACGCAGCGCTTCTCGGCTGAGCTAAAGTAGTCCGAGTCCGCGACGCAGACCTCGCAGAGCGGGCCGGTGTGGCCGGCGGTGCAGTACGGGTCGTCATCTCCGTCGGTGAGGCGGCGGAGGGAGGGCTGGCCGGAGCCACCAGAGCACGTCTCTGAGTCACAGCGGTGAAGCTCCGAGGTTGCGTTGGAGGCGCGCCAGTAGCCGACGTCCACGCCGAGGGACGCGAGAGCGGTGCCGGCGCTGCAGTTGGCGTTGGGTGGGCACGGCTTGCAGTGCTGGGTCGGGTTCTCAAAGATGTCGTCCGGATCGGTGCTCGCGTCCTTCAAGTAGAAGTCCTTTTTGCAGATGGAGCAGGTGACATCGCCGCTCTTGGAGCTGAGGGGGTGGGGGCAGGGAGTGCACTGCGAGAGGCCGTCGCTCGCCGCGTAGGTGCCCGCCTCGCACTCCTCGCAAGCGGTGGCGGAGGCTGCGAAATTGCCTTTTGGGCACAGCTCGCACGCGGACATGTTGGCCGACGGGGCGATGCTACCTGGAGCGCAAGCGGTTGGCTGCGCGGCGCCGCCGGCGCAGAAGCTGCCAGGCGCGCAACCGACGCAATCGTCGAGGCTCTCCAGCGTGGTGGACGCCTTCCCGTTGTAGAAGCCCGCGGGACAGGTCGCCGGCAGCTGAGCGCTGCTTCCCTTTGGACAGAACGTACCCAGCGCGCACTCGAGGCAGCCCGCGGCTCCGGAATCCGGCTGATACGTCCCGACGTCGCAGATGGTGCACTGGTCCTGAGCAGGCTTGGCTGCGGTTCCTGGAGAGCACACGGCAGGCGCGGCGCCACCTCCCGCGCACGATGAGCCGGCGGGGCAGGCGAGGCACTCGGGGTCGCCGTCGGCGTCCGTCACGTTGGCGTACGTGCCAGGCGAGCACTGCGCGTCCAGCTCGCGCGACGATCCCAACGGGCAAAACTTGCCAGCAGCGCAGCGGACGCAGGCGGCGGCGGCGGGCTGGTCCTGGGAGTACCCCTCGGGGCACAGCTCGCACGCGTCGTTGCGCGTGCCGGCGGCGAAGCTGCCCTCGCGACACGGCGTCTGCTCGGTGGAGCCGGTGGTGGCAAAGTAGCCCGGCGAGGCGTCGGTGCACTCGCTCGCGGCGGCGAGGTCGGTGGCGTTCGAGTACGATCCGGCGGGGCAGGGAAGGGGCACGCTCGTTCCCTCCGGGCAGACGTGGCCAGCATCGCAGGGCAGCGCCTCATAGGTCGCCTCTGTGGGGCATTTGGAGCCTGCGGGGCAGCGGCCGGCGCAGCTGCTGCTCGACTGCTCCTTTGGGTCGGCCGAGCCGCGGAGGCCGGCGGCGCAGGCAAAGGGGAAGTCCTCATCGACGGGCAGCAGCGGCAACTGGTAGAGGTCATCGCCGAGGAGGGAGGGGTCGCCCTCCCAGTTGCAGGGCTGCACGAAGGTCGGGCTCTGGCAGTACCACGGGTCGACGTTGTTCTGAACGACGAGGTTGATCGCGCAAGTTTCGCGGTGATTAGGGCAGTCATTGGTCGGGCGACCTTGATCATCCGTCGGGCACGCCTCCCGGTACACCTCGCAGCGCGCGTTCGGCAGCCAGCGGCCGGCGGGGGCGGGGAGGGTATAGGAGACCTCGCCAGCGAGCAGGAAGATGGAGCTCCCCTCTGTAACTGGGGCAGAGCAGCCGCTGATGAGGGTGCCGTCGCTAAGGGAGGTGCGCCCTCCCGCCGAGTAGAGGCCGCCGCCAGACTCTGTGGCGATGCAGTTGGAGATGGTGGAGCGGGCCAGGCTGGCTGAGCCCGACCACACGCACACTGCTCCGCCTCGCGTGGCAGTGCAGCCGGAGATGGTGGAGTCGGTCACGATGAGGTCGGTGGCAGACGTGTATGTAGCTCCGCCGTCCTGCGTAGTCCCAAGTGGGGGGCGAAGAGTCAACAGCCGCCTCTTCTGGGCGGTGTGGCTGCTAGCTCTACGCGGCGCACATTGCCAGCAGAGCAGCTCGTCATTGTCGAGCCGCTTATCGAGACCGCACCGTTGTTCCACGCGGAGACGACGCCGCCGGACTGCGGTTGCGAGGAGAGAGCGGGGTGAGGCAGCCGTGGCCCCTCTCCCTCTCTCGCCCCGCTGCCGTGCGGCGCTGTTGGAGTACGGCTATAGCTCTACGCGGCGCACATATTCAGCAGCCGAGCAGCCGGTCACGATCGAGCCGGCTATCGAGACCGCACCGCTGTCCTCCGCGTAGACGACGCCGCCGGACTGCGGTTGCGAGGAGAGAGCGGGGTGAGGCAGCCGTGGCCCTCTCGCTCTCTCGCCCCGCTGCCGTGCGGCGCTGCTGGAGGCGGCTAGCTCTACGCGGCGCACCCCAGCAGAGCAGTCCGACACATCCGAGTCGATGATCGAGACCGCACCGCTGTCCTCCGCGTAGACGACGCCGCCGTCCTGCGGTTGCGAGGAGAGAGCGGGGTGAGGCAGCCGTGGCCCTCTCGCTCTCTCGCCCCGCTGCCGTGCGGCGCTGCTGGAGGCGGCTAGCTCTACGCGGCGCACCCAGTTAGCAGAGCAGCCCGTCACAGTGGAGCCGATTATCGAGACCGCACCGCTGTTATACACGCTGACGACGCCGCCGTTCTGCGGTTGCGAGGAGGGAGCGGGGTGAGGCAGCCGTGGCCCTCTGCATCTCCCGCCCCGCTGCCGTGCGGCGCTGCAGGGAGGCGGCTAGCTCTACGAGGCGCACCAAGCCAGCCCTGCAGTTTGTGATTGTCGAATCGATGATCTCGACGTCGCCTGCGTCGAAAGCGTTCACAACGCCGCCGCTGTCCACCGCCCTCCCGTTGACGAGGTTCAGCCCCCGCAGGGTGAGGCTGCAGCCGCGCGAGAGGAAAAAGAGCCCGATCACTCCATTGCCGTCGAGCGTCGCGCCCTCGCCGCTGCTCGCGACGGTCACCTTGATGCTGGAGGCGCACCTGATCTGGCTGTTCAGCTTGAACTCTGCACCGGGCGGCAGGTAGATGGAGACGTCGGCAGACGGCTCCTCGATCAGGTTGCGGAGCTCGGTCTCGGTCGCCGCGGCGACATAGCCGGGGGAGAGCGGCGGCAGAGGCGGGGGTGGGGGCGGTGATGGCGCTGGTGGCGGTGAAGGCGGGCGGGTCGGCCAGCAGATCTGACGGCAGAGGGAGGATAGGCGTCAGAGAGGAGAAGAAAGGGGAGCGAGAGGGACCAGGGGCACGCCTTCCAGCCCGGCCCGAATACGCTGTGATCCGATCGCCACTCGATGACGCCGTCCTCCGCCACCGCGCCACTCGGCCCCGAGGTGCCGCAGTACCTCACGCCGTTGACGGTGAGGTAGTCACCGCATCCGCAGCTGCCGCATTGCTCCATTTCAAAGGCGATCGTCTCCAGCTCGACCGGCGGCACGCCGCTGATGGTGCACGCCTCGTTGATGCCGTAGCTGTTCGGGTAGTTTGGCGACGTGGCGCACAAGCCGCCGTCGGTGAGCGAGCACGGGCTGCTGACGCTGACGGGCTGCAGCGGTGCCGCTGGTGTGCCGCATACGCCCTGCAGGAAGAAGATGATCACAATGCCAACTCGGAGAGCACGCGTGCTGGTGAGCCAGTGCACGGAGCTAGCTGCGTGCCTGCGGCCCTCCACCCTCTTCTTCTTGACCTGCCCACGCAGCAGCGGCTCAAAGCACGCCGCGAGGAGCAGCGCCAGCACGGCCGCACAAGGGTGGAGAAAGGGCAGCGAGGACGTGGCCGTCTCGACGAGGTTCAGCCCCCGCAGGGTGAGGCTGCAGCCGCCCGAGAGGTAAAAGAGCCTGGTCTGTTCCTGGCCGTCGAGCGTCGCGCCCTCGCCGCTGCTCGCGACGGTCACCTTGATGCTGGAGGCGCACCTGATCTGGCTGTTCAGCTTGAAGTCTGCACTGGGCGGCAGGTAGATTGAGACGTCGGCTCGCGAAGCAGCAGCCTCCGTGATCAGGGATTGGAGCTCCCTGATGCTCGCCGCGGCGACAAAGCCAGTGGGGAGCGGCGGCAGAGGCGGGGGTGGGGGCGGAGAGGGCGACGGAGCACATGCCAGCGGGAGCATCGCGAGGAGAAGCAGCCACGCGCCCTTGTCGACCGGCGGGTTCGCAAGCGGCTTGTCGGTCTTGTAGAGCTCGTCGGTGAGCGCGTGGTGAGGCTCCGCGTGCCACGCAACGGCGGCGGCGGCTCCGCGCTGGGCCCAGATGAAGGAGGCGCAGTGCGGCCACGAGCCGGCAAAGTCACTTGAAATGGAGAAGAGATCGGTCAACTCGGCCGTCTTCGAGTCGGCGATCTGAGTGGCGCAGACCTCCGTGGGCCGAACTAGATCCTGTGGCGTGTTGTAGTTCCGCAAGAGGCTCGACGCCTCGCTGCGCTGCGCCTCCGCTGACTCGGTCTTTGGCGGAACCGGCAAAATCATGGGCACCGCCTCAGTCTCGGACCGGATGGGCAGCGATGCCTGGGACTTGCCAAGGGCGGCCCAGCAGCCAGGTGGCTCCCCGGACTCGTGCACGAGGGAACCCACAAGGCGGTACCAGGGAGCGCTGCCGGCCGTGTCCATGTCGGGTGCCTCGCTCTCTCCCTGAGAAGGGAGAGGGGGGATTCCGTCAGGCGCGCAGGAGGAGGCGCGATGAGTGATAGAAGCGAATGCCGCTCAGAGCAGTCAGGGCAGCGCTCAGAGCAGTCAGGGCAGGGTAGAGCGGCGCATGAGGTGTTCTAGAGGGGCGAAGGGTGGGCGAATACGCAGTGCGGCGACGTGGCGAGTGCACTGCGGGTCGCCGAGTGCCTGGTCACTCCGCTCGAGCTCGGCCTGCTCGACCTCGAGGTCGGCGCGGTCCACGGAGGCGCAGGCGCCCCGCCAGTCGGGAATCTCACTTGAGAAGGAGAAGAGGTCAGTCGACCCACGAGGGGTGGCCACCGCATCGGGCGGTGCCTCGATCTTGTGCTCCTGGCTTGTGGCTCGAGAAGCGTTTGCCGGTCTGTCAATCGCCCGCCGCTCACCGCCAGCGCGGGGAAGAGAGAGGTTGACGAAAGATGTCGGGCTCGAGATGCTCGACCGGCGTGCGGCAACAGCGGAGACTAGGAAGGCCAGTGTGAAGGCCATTGGCAAAGGTGAGCGGCTTTGGGGCGTCCTGGAACGCCAACGTCGTCCTGGATCGCCAACGTCCTGGATCAAGGGAAACCAGAGCGGCTCCCACAACCTCCCCAACACCCGAGCTGCACGACACGACCGCTTGTTTGAACATTAGATCGCGATTTTTTTCGAGCTCAGACGGCAGCGAGCGACTTTTGCCTGCAGACGTAACTCGGCCTCTGGCCGCCGACAGCGCCTAACTCGGGGTCTGGGGCGGAGCCCCAGCCTGGGGTCTGGGGCTGGCAGCCCCAGCGGGGTGCGGGGCAGAGCCCCGCGAAGAAAATTTTGCATTTTTTTAGCGCCAGAAACCGACCAAAAAAAGGCTGTGAGCTGCTGCCCAAGAGCCCCAAACTAGAGCGCAATGTACAAATCTCGTACAATAGTACACACACACACACACACACACACACACACACACACACACACACACACACACACACACACACACACACACACACACACACACACGATTCATACTCAGCAACAATAAGCGACTGTACCACGGAGCACAGAGCGCAGCAGACAGGACGGCGGCGACGGCGGACATGGCAGAGACGAGTGTGAAACAAAGGGCGGCGGGCATGGAGGGCGGTAGCGACGGGGATGGTGACGGTGACGGTGGCGAGGGAGAGGAAGGGGGTCCATTAACACCAGACAGCGAGAGGGGCAGGGAGGAAAGGGGGAGAGAGGAAGCCAACGCGACGTGCGCAGAGGATGAGGATATAAACTGGGACGACGCAGCGGGGGGGATAGGCGAGGGAATCGAGGGACCGGAGGGCTTTCGCGACAGCGACGATGACGACGAAGAAAGGGGAGGGGACGGAGGGGCGACACGCAGGAGGGGCGAAATCGCTAACGGCCCGAGCAGAGAGGGCGACGGCGGGGCACGAGGGAACAACGGAGACGCTACCGATGACGCGAACCGAGGCACGGACGACGGCGGGGACGGGGAGGGCGACAGCGACGTCGAGGTTGACGCAACGGTATCGAGAGCGCCACCCAAAAGGAGCCGGACAGCCATGGAGGTCACCGAATGGAGGGCGAACGGCACGATACGAAAAGGCAGGGCGAGGCGGATGGAGAAAGAAGTGCCGAGAAGGCCATGGTGGAGGGGAGGGACGGGAGGACGAAAGAAGGGCGAGGAGGACGAGCGGCCCGCACAGACCGCGAGCAGACAGCGCCTGCTGGCCATTTCGAGACATTCGCCAAGAACGCTAGCTACATGGGAGGGCTTCGTGAAGGATGGATTGAAAAACATTCGAACAAAGAAGAGGCGACGGGAGGAACCGGCGGAGGATGCAGTGACGTGACACACACACACACACACACACACACACACACACACACACACACACACACACACACACACACACACACACACACACACACACACACACACACACACACCGCTCACCCACGCGCACTGGGCCTTGCACTTTGAATGCCGTGGGGCTCCTGTCGTCAGACGTGGAGACGCGAGGGTTGCCCCCCCTTGCCCCACCACCTCGTGTGTGTGGAGAAGTTTACCTTACCTTACCTTATACTCATGCAGTGTGTACAGATCACTTCCGTCGCTGACGCTTCGACATGGCCGCTACTGGCTTGGCTGCTGGCTTGGCTGCTGGCGGCTTGCGCCGTGCGGACCCCTTGGCTGCCGGCTTGGCCCCCCGCCCTGCCCGCGCCGGTGCTGGCGCATGCAATGATGGGCCATCGTCATCACTGCTGTCTGGCGGGCGCGTCGGCAGTGCTCGAGGCGGTGCAGCCTTACGCTTCCCTGCACGCTGCACGCTGCGCGGGTGCAGGTGCGGGTGCGGGTGCGGGGGCGGGTGCGGGCGCCTCGCCGTCGCTCTCGTCCTCGTCCTCGTCCTCGGACTCGTCGCACGAGGTCTCCTCCATGTAGCCCGCACGCTCCTCCTCGAACTCCTTCTAGCGCCTCCAAGTGCTCCACGTGCAATCTCCAGCCTAGATCAAGTCCTCCTTCACACCCCCCCAACTCACCCACAAAGCCACCTCTTCCTCGGTCCAACGCAGCGCCTCAAGCCGTGCCTGCTCCTGGTTGACTGTCGCAAGCCGCTGCTCATGGAGCAGCGGCTGCTCCTCGTGCTCGTGATCTGATGAAAGCTCGGCATCGCTCAGCGCTTGCGCCATCGGGACGTCAGCCTCTGCCACCGGAGCGGCGGCCTCGGACTGCATCGCTGGGTCTGCAGCTCCGTCGACCTCCTCGGTGGGAGGGTCGGCGGCGGGCGGGTCGGCGGCGGCGCCGTCGGCAGTGGCGTCCACTGGAGCACCGCCCGTGCGCACACCAAAGTGGATTAGGAAGGCGTTCTTGGCGGCACGTGTCCACCCCTTTGGCTTGGGGCCGCCTGCACCGTGTCGATGGAGCATTGGCAATGCCGCGCGGCGCCTACGAATGGTTCGGGAACGCCGCCCATGGGAACGGCGCTCTCGGCAGAGCTTTCGTGGCGGGGAGACGGCTGCCCGGAGGTGCCCGGAGCGCTCTCCCGGCTCACTGAGAGGGGAGATGGCGGATTTTTTTACATGGGTCGGGAGGGCAGCTCACGGCGGTCACGCTGCGCGCACCTTGAGTCGCGAGGGCGATGCGGCGACGGTTACCCGACGTCGGACGGACCGTCCACAGTGGTGCCAGGGTGCAGGCATGAATGGGTCTGACCTCGAAAAAAATCGCGATTTAGCGACACAGGTAATTAATCATGTGGGTTGTGTCATCGTGGCGCAGGCGGCGGGAGCGACACACGTTACTTTAGTCTCCACATCGCGTGTTTTACATAGCCCCGCTTCAAATGTATGCAAACCTCACAGCGGGGCCTCGCTGTGCTCCCCTTAGACCTAGAGCGCGGCACATCGACGCAGTCCCGCTCACAAAGTCTCTCACATGAGACAACACATGCACCAGAGATTGCACATGCACTACTGCCGCGGCCGCGCCGAGCGACTCTGCCGCGCGCGGGTGTGCGCGCGCCAGACGTTGTACACCGCGGGGCGACGCCACTCGCCCCGCGGGATCACGAGGCAGGGGGGCACGAGGCAAGGGGCGCGAGCCCTCCCCGTCTCCCCTCCTCCGCCTCCTCCGCACCCCTCGCCGTGCCTCGGCCGCCTCCCGCTCCTCCCCGCCGCCGCCGCCCCCGCAAGGCTCAGTAGGGCGGCCTCAGTACGACGGCGTCTCGAAGTGGAAAGCGAAGCCTCCGCCGCCGAGCTCCCCGAGCGGCAGCTCCGCCGCGCCGTGGCCCAGCGAGACGAGGTCCTTGGAGTAGTTGTCTTCGAAGCTCACCTAGACGAGACCACACACCCCACGGACACGTCACGGACATGTCCGGTCCCCTCGCGACCACCGGCGCCGTCGAAGCGCACCGTCTGCAGCGTGTGCGAGAACTGGCCCAGCTCCACGTAGTCCACAACCGAATGCGGCGCCGGCTTGTGCCCCCGCGCCGTCGGCAAGCTCGCCGGCAAATCCGACGGCAGCGCGCCCCACTCGCCGGTGATCGCCGCCGCCTCGTCGCCCTTGCCCTGCTGCCGCAGCAGCACCGCCAGCATCCACGAGTAGCGCACAGTCAGCGTGTGCCCCTCGCCTACAGCCGAGGGACGGCCGACGTGCAGCCGAGATGCAGCGCGCGCGGCACGCCTCTCCCTCCTCCTCGGGCTGCTCGCCTAACGAGACCCCCTCCCCAGACCGCTCAGTAAAGAAGGCCCGTGCAAGCGCGCCGTCTCCCAGCCCCCGGCACTCCTAGCCGGCGCGCGCACGCGGCGACGAGCTCGCGCGCCAGCGGCTCCGCCTGCGACGGCCGGCCCTCGTCGTGGTACTTTTGGGTCGCCTAGCGCGAGATGGGCCGAGATGAGCCGAGGTGCGGCGGCGCGTCGGCAGGCGCTGCCACCGCTGCGTCGGCTGCGTCGCCTCGGCCATCAGCGCGAGATATGGGGAGATTTGGGGAGATATGGGGAGATGTGGGGAGATTGCGTCGCCTCGGCCATCAGCGCGAGATATGGGGAGATATGGGGAGGTATGGGGAGATATGGGGAGATTGCGTCGCCTCGGCCATCAGCGCGAGCGTTGCCGGGTGCGCCTCGCCTCTGCTGGCGCGCAGCAGCGCCACCGCCTCCTCGTACCGGCTGAGGTGCCCCAGCACGCGCGCGTGCGCCTCTTGTGCGGACAGCGTGTCCTCGTGCGCCGGCCCGAGCACCAGCGCCGACAGCTCGGCCTAATCCACTAAGGACGGACCCACTCACGGATAGCTGGTTAGTCAGGCACCAGCGCCGTCTTTGCTCGGCCTCGCGGCGCAGCAGCGGCTCCGCCTCCGCAAGCTGTCCTGCTGGCAGAGAGAAGGCGTGGAGAGGCGCCGCGGGTCTCGGCTGCCTCTCGGCTGCCTCTCGGCTGCCTCTCGGCTGCCTCTCGGCTGCCTCTCGGCTGCCTCTCGGCTGCCTCTCGGCTGCCTCTCGGCTGCCTCTCGGCCGCCTCTCGGCCGCCTCTCGGCATCATCTCGGCTGCATCTCGGACCTCGGTCGCGGTAGGTCTGGGCGAGGTTCGAGACGGCGGTGAGCGTGTGCGGGTGCCTCTCGCCGAGCGCCTGGGAAGAAGGGAACGTGTCGTGGACGTGTCGTGGGACGGGTCGTGGGACGTGTCGTGGGACATGTCGTGGACGTGTCGTGGGCGTGTCGTGGACATGTCGTGGACGTGTCGTGGACATGTCGTGGACGTGTCGTGGACGTGTCGTGGGCGTGTCGTGTGCATGTCGTGGACGTGTCGTGGGCGTGTCGTGGACATGTCGTGGACGTGTCGTGGACATGTCGTGGACGTGTCGTGGACGTGTCGTGGACATGTCGTGGGCGTGTCGTGGGCAGGAAGAAAACGTGTCGTGGGCGTGTCGTGGGCGTCGAGCGCCGAGACACAGGCGTCGAGTTGCGCGCGGAACAGCGCCTCCGCCTCGGACAGCTTCGAGGCGGACAGGTCGGGCATCGCGTCAGCGAGCACGCGCGCCTAGCCGAGATATGGGGAGGTATGGGGAGAGATGGGGAGAGACGGGGAGAGATGGGGAGAGGTGGGGAGAGATGGGGAGAGGTGGGGAGAGACGGGGAGAGATGGGGAGAGATGGGGAGAGGTGGCGAGAGATGGGGAGAGATGGGGAGAGACGGGGAGAGATGGGGAGAGAGGGGGAGAGGTGGGGAGAGATGGGGAGAGGTGGGGAGAGATGGGCAGAGGTGGGGAGAGGTGGGGAGGGATGGGGAGTTATGGGGAGATGTGGGGAGATGGCGTCCGCGAGCAGGCACGCGCTTGCGCCACCAGCGCCGAGGCGAGGTTGGAGCAGGCGATGCGAGTCTCGGGGTGGCTGCCGCCGAGCGAGTCGGTCGAGAGAGCCACCTGGTGCACGGGAGTGAGCGGGAGGTCTCTGGACATCGAGACGGGCGTCTGCGAGCGAGGCCCCCCGGGAGGGGCAACGAATGGATCGCGGAAGATATGCGGAGATATGGGGAGACATGGGGCGATATGGGGAGATATGGGGAGATTGCGCTTCGGTGCGGAGGCGTGGCGGAGATATGGGGAGACGTGGGGAGATATGGGGAGATTGCGCCTCGGTGCGGAGGCAGGTCTCCGCCTCATCGAGCTTGTTGACGGCGATCAGCGCCTGGCCGGTCCGCGAGAGGGCGATGAGGGGAGGGATGGGGAGAGATGGGGAGAGATGGGGAGGGATGGGGAGGGATGGGGAGAGATGGGGAGGGATGGGGAGAGATGGGGAGAGATGGGGAGAGATGGGGAGGGATGGGGAGAGATGGGGAGAGATGGGGAGAGATGGGGAGATCAGCGCCTGGCCCAGCTGCGAGAGGGCGATGAGCGTGGTCGGGTGCGCCTCGCCGTGGTAGGCGGCGCACGAGGAGTGGGTCAGCCGCGCCGTCTCCTCGGCCTGCGCGGCGGACAGGGCGGAGAGACGGGAGTCTGGGAAGGCCTGGGCGAGTCTGGGCAGGTCTGTGAGTGTCCGGGCAGGTCTTGGCGAGTCTGGGAGAATCTGGGAGGGACTGGAAAGGTCTGGGAGGGTCTGGAAAGGTCTGGGAGAGGTCGAGGAGAGGTCGAGGAGAGGTCGAGGAGTGGCGCCTTCTCGTCCTGGCAGAGGAGACTGCTAGGAAGGTGCTAGGAAGGAGACTTTGAAGGTACTAGGAACGTGCTAGGAAGGTGCTACGGAGCGGCGCCTCCTCGTGCCGCCCGACCTGGGAGAGGAGTGAGACAGCGTGCCCGTGGCAGAGGAGCGTGTCGGGGTGGCAAGGGCCCAGCGTGCGCAGCGACGCCGCGCACTGCTTCTTCGCCAGCGTCACCGCCGCGTGCAGCGAGCCGCGCGCCGCCAGCACCGCAGTCAGGTGTCCCATCGCGTACAGGGTGCGAGGGTCATCGCTGCCGTGGAGGGCGCGGCGGCGCGCGAGGACGCGCGCAAAGTACGCCTCCGCACGCGTCAGGTCGCCCGCCTCGCGATACGCCTGCGCCATCCCGTTGAGCGAACGGAGCTCCTGCTCCTCCTCTCGCTCCCGGCTCGGTGTCTCCTCCGGCACGGTCGGGTCCACAAAGGTCATACGCCGCGGGTCAGCCTCGACGCCGAGGTGGAGCCCGCGGCGGCCCAGCACCGACGCCGCGCCGAGGCGGCCGCGGAGGGCCAATAGGGGGCGGGACGACAGGCGCGAGCCAGCCAGCCTCATCTGCTGCGAAGCTGTCCGAGTGTGTGGGGACGCACGCGGATCCGGCCGATATGCAGGCGCCGTAACCTGCCGTAACGATCCAATTTCGCTGCAATATTCCCACTCCAGCACTTGAGCACTTGGATAGGGTCGATTCCGCATGGTACGGGACCCCTCGATCGTCTCGCCCTCCCTCACTGGTGTGTTCATTGGGGGGGTCATAACAAGTGCTCACTTGCTTCCCGCGAGGCTCGACCATCTCTGCGCAACAGAATATGCTCGCAACAGAATCTGCTGTGACAGCTGTGGGGTGCAGCTGCATGTGGGCGACGGCCCGGTGCCCGGAGCTGTGCGTGCGTGCGCCTGCCGTCTCCGGTCGCGGTTGCGCGCGGCATGTGTGTGCAGTGTTGCTGTATTTTATTCTCCTTCTCCTCACAAACATCGTCAACACAGAAAAAGCCAAGAGGTTCGAAGGCGGGAAAAGCGGTGCTGTGATCCTTTGTGCGCGTCACATCCGCACCACGAAGCCGCCACGGTCACAGTCGCCCTCTGGCACCGTCGGAGAGGGCACGGGGTCGGGAGCGCGCAACGAGCAGCGTGTGATCCAAGTCGCCGCTACACCAAGCAGGGGCAGCACGCCGGCGGCGAGCGCGGCCGCTTTCGTCTGCCCGCCCGCAAATGCCGTTGCCACCAGAGCCGCATAGCCGAGCACGCCAAGCCACGTGAAGGCGATCTCGAACCGCCTCAGGCGCACGTTCCGGCCGAGCACGAGAGCAATCGAGACGCCTGCGAGTGCTCCGAAGAGGTGCCCCTCGTACGAGACATTGTCCGACCTCCAGAATATCAAGGCGGCGACGTCGACGACGATCAGGATCAGGAGCACGCAGAGCCGTAGCACCCGGGCGGGCATCTCGGCCCAGTTGAGCGCGAGGAGAGACAGCTGGCTGAAGAACGCTGCGTAGATGGCGCCGCTCGTGCCACGCACACGCGTGTCCGGGTCCGCCACCCCATGAAGCGCCGCGCCGATGCAGCCTCCGCCGAACAGAACGCAGGCGACATGAGGCACGCCCTCGGTGATCTCCAGGAAGCAGCCCGCGATGGCGAGGAACGCCACGTTCGACCAGAGGTGCTCTTGGTCGACGTGCGAGATCATGGCCGCGAGGCACGACCACCATGGTCCCTCATTAGACCGACCATAAGACCAGCCGTGCGCGTCATTGGCGAAAAAGATGACGATGCACGCGACGCAAGTCGCCACGGTGAGGATTGGGAGGCGGCATATGAGCGGCGCCTGGTGCACTGCGCCCCAGTAGGAGGCGCCACTGGAGGGGCGCGGCTTGGACATCGCGGACTGAAAGAAGCGGGCCGTCGCGGGCCGACAACGCTGCACGAGCAAGTAGCCCGCCGTTGCAGAAGTTCGGCGATGCCTGCCAGCGTGCCTCAACGATCGCCGTGCGTGGACGCGGTGTTGCGAGGCGACGAAGCGGCAGTGCGTTCGTGGCTCGAGAGAGGCGGGGGAGCAAACAACGCGCGCGAAAATGGCGAAGTAACCGGCGTTACCCTGCTGATCGACGCCGCAACCTTCGGCCACGAGCGTGTGGCTGCCTTGCTGCTGCAGCACGGCGCAGAGGTCGACATGCAGAGCAGCGTCGGCGTCACCGCGCTGATGGGCGCCGCTGCAGACGGCCACGAGCGGGTCGTCGAGCTGCTCCTGCAGCACGGCGCGGATGCCAACCTGCAGGACAGCAATGGCGTCACCGCGCTGATGCCCGCCGCCAGTTATGGCCACGAGCGAGTGGTCGAGCTGCTGCTGCGGCATGGCGCGGAGGTCAATCTGCAAGATAGCAACGACTTCACCACGCTGATGCGCGCCGCCTCCAAAGGCCACGAGCGGGTGGTCGAGCTGCTGCTCAAGCGCGGCGCGGAGGTCTACACCGTGTTGATGGGCGCCGCTGCATCCGGCCACGAGCGGGTGGTCGAGTTGCTCCTTCGACACGGCGCGGATGCCAACCTGAAGAACAGCAAAGGCGGCACCGTGCTGATGCACGCCGCCTCCAATGGCCACGAGCGGGTGGTAGAGTTGCTGCTTCAGCGCGGCGCGGAGGTCAACTTGCAGGACAGCAACGGCCTCACTGCGCTGATGACCGCCGCTGCCAACGGCCACGAGCGAGTGGTCGACTTGCTGCTTCAGCGCGGCGCGGAGATCGACCAGCAGAAGAGCGACGCCGACGGCGGCACCGCGCTGACGCTTGCCGCCAACAACGGCCACGAGCGGGTGGTCGAGCTGCTGCTTCAGCGTGGCGCTGAGGTCAACCTGCAGAGCAGAGGCGCTACCGCGCTGATGCGCGCCGCCGCCCAAGGCCACCTCCCCGTCGTGCTCTGCCTTCTGCAGGCTGGCGCAGAGACGAAGGCACGCTCTCCGGCCGGCTGGTCCGCGCTGCAGCTCGCCAAGAAGGAGGCGGCCAAGCCTGCGACTGCCGAGGCCGCCAGTGCTCCTCCAAAGGACCACGCCGGGTGCGTGCGCGCTCTCACAGAGCATACAGCGGCTGAGAGAGAGGCCGAGGCGGCAGAGAAGGCGGCAGAGAAGGCGCTCGAGGCCAAGAGGCGGCGCGAGCAGCGCGAGCGGGAGGAGGCGGCGGCGGCGCGAGAGCGCGAGCAGGTGGCACGACAGCGCGAAGCGGAGCGGGCGGCGGACGAGGCGTGCCGAGCGGCGGACGCTGCGGCGCTGGAGGAGCAGAGGCGAGCGATTGCGGCAGAGGCGGAGGCGAAGCTGGCCGCTGAGCGCGCGGCAGCAGAGGAGACGCTGCGGGCGAGGGAGGCGGAGAGGCGAGCAGCAGAGGAGGCGCAGCGAGAGGAGCAGCGGGCGGCGGCGGCGGCTCGCAACGCGGCTCAGGCAGAGGCGGAGCGGCGCGAGAAGGAGGCTGCGGATAGGAGGGCGGAGGAGGAGAAGGCGAAGCAGCGCGCAAAGGCGGCCGAGAAGAAAGCGGTTAGAAAGGAGGGCAAGGCGAAGAACAAGGAGGCCAAGAAGGCGACGCCTGCCTTCAAGCTAGAGGAGGAGCGAAGGGCGAAGGCTGCGGCAGATGTTCGCGCACAGGAGGAGAGGGCGGCGCGGCTGGCTGCTGAGCAGGAGGCGGCGAGGCGAGCGGAGCGCGAGGCGGCAGAGCGAGCGGGTGCGGCGGAGCAGGCTGCGCTGCGCGAGGCTGAGGAGCTAGCAGAGGCGCTGCGCCGGTCAGAGGTGGATGCAGAGGAGGCGCTGGCGCGTCGGGTGTCGCGGTGCGAGGAGGCGGTGAGCAGCGAGTCGACCGGCGGCGGGGGGGATTTGCTAGAACGGGTCGATCGGCTGGAGGCGAGCCTCGGCGCGGCGACCGAGGGTAGTCTCGAGGAGCGGGTCAGCGCCATCGAGCGTTTGATCGGGCCAGCGGCGGCAGAGGCGGCGGAGCAGCAGCTGCCAGTCACTGAGCCGCTTGCTGCTGTCTCACTAGCGGACGCCGGCCCCGACACGGCGGCGAGGCGAGCGGAGCGCGAGGCGGCAGAGCGAGCGGGTGCGGCGGAGCGGGCATCGCTGCGAGAAGCTACGGAGCTAGCAGAGGCGCTGCGCCGGTCAGAGGCGGATGCGGAGGAGGCGGCGCTGGCGCGTGAGATAGCGCGGCGCGGCGGTGGGTGAGGTGGGGTGGGGGGGGGGGGGGCGGCGTGGCGTGGAGCTCCGAGATAGCGCGAGATCGCCCGAGATCGCGCGGCGCGGCCCGAGATCGCCCGAGATCGCGCGGCGCGGCCCGGGGCGGGGTGGATGGGTTGGGAGCGAGGGGGCGAAAGTGTTCAGTGCGGTAGATGGCGAGCTCGAGGCGCGTGAGCCGGACTTGTGAGCCGGACCACCCCCTCTTGTTCTCTGCGTTGTTGAGCCAGGACTCAACATACTCGGGCTCGTAATCCCAAACTGTCACTCCCCTTTCTCCCGGCCGGGGTGGGGCGCGCGCGGGGGCGGCGGGTGTGCGGCGGGTGTGAGGGATGTCTGTGAGCCCGAGAGCGATATGCCATGTCCGCCTTGCGTTGTTTCATAACATCGAAGGCATGCTCAAAAAAAAAAACGCAGTGTCACTGGCCCGGCCGCCGCCGTGTTGCCGCCGCCGTGTCTTACGGTGTTCGCGGCACAGTTTGCTGCATGCAGCCTGACGCCCAGAGGCAGCCCGACAAGTTTTTGGAGCTCAGCCCGGCCTCCCTGCGGAGGGTAGGGGGCGTGCTCACGGCGCTGCTGCTGTTGGTGGGCGTCCTCCGGCTGCGCGCGTCCCCGCTCGGCGTCGCTGGGCCGCACCATATCGTGCTGCTGTTCGCCGCGGGCAACTACGCCTCCTCGGCCTCGTCGGCGCTGCAGCTCTGGTCGCTCCTCACCAAGCACCAGTCTTCGGCCGCGCTCTCCGTGCAGGCCTCTCGCCTCGCCTTTGGCGCCTCGCTGCTGCGCGCGGTGTGGTCGCTCACCGGCCACGCGTTCCGCGCGAGCCTGATCTCCAACCTCGACGTGGTGCTCTCGGTGATCCTGTCGGGCGCGCTCGCCCTCGCCCTCTCGCCCTCGGTCGGCCCTTCGCTCGGCGTGCAGCCGGCGCGCCTCGACGAGTTCCCAGCGTTTAAGGCGGCGGGCGCCGCCGCGGCGCTCTCAGTGCTCAGCATGGTCTTTGGCCTCAGCGGCGAGGGCGACGAGGCCGCGCCTCCAGTGCGGCGCGGAGTGGACGCGTCCTGGTCGCGTCCGAGCCACGTCCACGCCCCACCCGTAGGACGCCTCCAACTCGCTCCGGTGGGTCACGCTCGCGTGCGCCATCTACACGCAGATGCTGGCGGTGCTGCCGATGTGTGTGCTCGCCACCTCCCCCCCCTCCCCCCCCCCTTTTCCTCCTCCCCCCTCCCCCCCCCCCCCCACTCCCCCTGCGCCGCAACTCTGCTCCACCAACATCGCTCTGCTCCACCTCCCGCACCCGCGCCCCGCCCCCGCCTCCTCCCCCGCCGCTCCTCGCCGCTCACTCTGGCTCTTCGAAGATGCGTCCGAGGGGTGTCCGAGGGGTGTCCGAGGGGTGTCCGAGGGGTGTCTGAGGGGTGTCCGAGGGTTGTCTGAGGGCGCGTGCCCCGCAGGCGCGCCGCCCTTGCACGCGCGAAGCGGGTCGAGGCGCTCACCTCGCACGCCGTCGCTTGCCTCGCCGTCGGCGCGGTGTTCCGGGTGCTGATGTGGCTGCTGCTGATGCTCGAAGGGGAGTTCCACATGCTGCTGGCCCCTAGATGCCCCACCCTCTCCGACCGCCACTTGAGAGGGCGCGCACTCCACCCGACTCGCCGGCAGCCCTCTGCCACTCGCCGCCTATTCACGCGGTGCTCCGGGGACGCTGCGCCCCGCCCGCGCTCGCGCCCCGACTTGGTGCGTGCCATGGCGCAGGCTGCTGATGCTCGGCGACTTTGTGCTCGTCGCTCTCCTCGCCGACTTCCTCTCGCTCTACGCGGAGGCCGTCAAGGAGGGCGGCCTCGAGGCAAACGTCTCGCTCAACGGCGCAGAGATGGCCTAGGGGCCCGCTCCCGGTACGGTAGGGCCGTTCGACGCCATCGCACTGGAACGCTGGTTGGTTGGGCCAAATAAGAGGGACTGCAGTATACCAAGGTATTCGTTTTGAAAAAGAAAAACTATGAACAAATGGCGGAGACCGGCAGCCTTCCCCAAGCGGTGTGGAAAGCGGCCGGGCGAGGCGACGAGGCGGCGCTGCTGTCGTGGCTCGAAAGCGGCGGGCGGGTCAATGCGACTTGCCGGGCGGGCGATGTGAGTGGCGTCACCGTGCTGATGCTCGCCGCCATCCAAGGCCACGAGCGGGTGGTCGAGCTGCTGCTTCAACGCGGCGCGGAGGTCAACCTGCAGAGCAGCGACGGCGGCACCGCACTGACGTACGCTGCCACTAAAGGCCACGAGCGGGTGAGCGAGCTGCTGCTTCAACGCGGCGCGGAGGTCAACAAGCAGAACAGCGACGGCGGCACCGCGCTGATGCTCGCCGCCGCCAGCGGCCACGAGCGAGTGGTCGAGCTGCTGCTGCAGCGCGGCGCGGAGGTCAACCTGCAGAAGAGCAACGGTAGCACCGCACTGATGGGCGCCGCCTACAATGGCCACGAGCGGGTGGTCGAGCTGCTGATTCGGCATGGCGCGGATATCAACCTGCAGGACAGCAACGGCGTCACCGCGCTGATGAGCGCCGCTGGCGACGGCCACGAGCGAGTGGTCGACTTGCTGCTTCAGCGCGGCGCGGATGTCAACCTGCAGAAGAGCGACGGCTGGACCGCGCTGATGCTCGCCGCTGGCTTTGGCCACCCCGCCATCGTGCTCCGCCTGCTGCGGGCGGGCGCGGATACAAAGCTGCGCGCTGCAGACGGCAAGTCCGCGCTGCAGTACGCCAGGGAGCAGGGCCACAGCGAGTGCGTCGAGGCCTTCCGGCAGCACATCGCGGAGGTGACTGCGAGCCAGCGCGAGGCGGCGGCGGGCGGCGCGGGCGGCGCTATCTCGGTCGAAGCGGCCTCTTCCGGCTCGCTGGGCCTTCCCGAAGAGGCGTTTGAAGCGGCCCTCCAAGGCGACGAGGCGGCGCTGCTGGCGTGGCTCGACAGCGGCGGGCGGGTCAATGCGACTTGCCGGGCGGGCGATGGGAGCGGCATCACGCTGATGATGCTCGCCGCCAACAACGGCCACGAGCGAGTGGTCGAGCTGCTGCTTCAGCGTGGCGCTGAGATCAACAAGCAGGAGAGCAAAGGTCGCACCGCGCTGATGTTCGCCGCCCGCTACGGCCACGAGCGAGTGGTCGAGCTGCTGCTACAGCGCAGCGCGGATGCCAACCTGCAGAACAGCGACGGCAGCACCGCGCTGATGCTCGCCGCCAGCTACAGCCACGACCGGGTGGTCGAGCTGCTGCTGCAGCGCGGCGCGGATGCTAACTTGCAGGATAGCACTGGCAACACCGCGCTGATGTTTGCCGCCGTCAAAGGCCACTCCGCCATCGTGCGCCACCTGCTGCGAGCGGGCGCCGATACGACGGCGTTCAATGCGAGCGGCAGGACGGCGCTTCAGATGGCCGAAGAGAGGGGCCACAGCGAGTGCGTGCGCGCCCTCGAGGAGCTCGCGGCGGCGCAGTCAGCGGCGAGGGCGGTGGAGAGTGCGGCGGCAGAGGCGGAGGCGGCGCGGCATGCCGAGGCGCTGCTGGCGGAGGAGGAGGCGGAGAAGGAGGCGGGGCGCGTCAAGGAGAGCAAGAAGGGGAAGAAGAAGAAGAAGAAGGGGAAGGGTGGCGGGGGCGGCGCTGGGCCATCGCGGGAACCGGAGGATGAGGCAGCGCTGGCGGCGGTAGAGGAGGCGGAGCTGGCGGCGGCGCTCGAGGAGAGCGCGAGGATGGAGGGAGCGAGGCCGGTGGTGGAGGAGCGGACGCTTGTCACTGCGACCGAGGGCGGCTCGCCGTCGGCTGCAGAGGCGCCGGTTGCGAAGGAGGAGGAGGAGCCGCCGGCCGACTTCATCTGCCCGATCACGACCGAGATTATGGTCGAGCCAGTCGTGGCGGCCGACGGGCAGTCGTATGAGCGGACTGCGATCGAGCGTTGGCTCGCGACCAAGTCAACGAGCCCGCTGACCGGCGGCGAGCTCGAGCGTAGCATCCTGATCCCGAACCACAACTTGCGCCGGACGATTCGAGAGTGGCAGGAGGCGCGGGCGTCACTTTGAGCCCCCAGCCGGCGGCGAAGATTAGCATCTAGTGCAACGGGGGCAAGGGACCTAACTACCAGGCGGTGCCCAAGCCCGAGCAGCGCAGCGCCGGGGATCGCGATCCTTCGCGAGCGTGCTTGATGTGGACGACAGACGACCCCACACTAGTTCCGCCTTTTGCCTACTTCCCCTTTGGCGCACGGCGCAGGTACCAGGTTGGTCGGGCTCGGGTTGTGCGCACTCAGGCACTCTTGGGCCCCGGATCACGCGGATACGGCTTGTTATGTTTATCTCCGCACTCCGGGTGCCGGATCCCGGATGCCGGCGCCGCGTGCTGCTCTGAGTTTTCAAAATCTAGACGACAAATATCAAAACACAGCCCGACCGATATCCCGAACCTTCAAGCTTCAACCGGGGTCTCCACACGGCCCCGCGCACCGCGGAGGCCGCCTCTCCCGCTCCTAGTCGCGTGGCGGGGAGAGCTGCAGCGACCGGCGCGCGATCTCCACCTCGACCCTATGCGGCTGCCCGCCGGAGCCGCAGACCTCCCTGCCCCGCAGCGCCTCGAGCCCGGCGGCTGCGAGGCTCGCGCTCTCAAAGAGCACAAACAGCGTCTTCGTCCCGTTGGTGGGGAGGAGCTTGAGGTGGCGGTAGCCGGGCAGATTGCTCACCAGGCCCGCCAGGCTGTCCTCGCCGACCCACTCCGGCAGCCGCCTCAGGCAGAGCGTGTCGTCGCTGCCCCTCTGCGCGTCGTCATAGCGCGAGCGCTTGACGCCGCCCCCGCCGCCGACGCGCGGTGCCGCGCCCGCATCCCGGTGCGAGTATCCGCCGCAGGCGGGGTTGCCGTACCCGTATCCGTACGCGGCGCCGGCGCCCGCGCCGCCGCTGAACGGACCGCCGTACGCATATGCTTGCAATGGTGGGGCGTGCGGATACGGCGGAGGCGCCACCGACCGGGCGGCGTACGAGGTGAAGGCCGCGTACGCGGGCGCCGCGTCGCGCCGCGACGAGCCGCCGCGGTCGTCGTCGAGGTCGCGGCGCGCGATCTCGACGGCGAGGGGCCGCATGTGCGGCATCTCCTCGTCGAATTGCAGCCCCTGCAGCCGCTCGCAGGCGTGGGCGGCCGACGTGGGCGAGTCGAAGCGCACAAAGCCGGTGACGAGGCGCCGTCCGTCGCCGGGCGCGAGGTGGCATGACTCGTACCCCGGGAGGAGCACGGCGAGGTTGCGGAGCTCTCGCAGACGCACGTCGTTCGGCAGGCCATGCACGCAGATGGTGCGGACCCCGCCCGCCGCCTGCGGGGTGCTCGCGTGCAGCTGGTACTCCATCGGGCGAGTAGAGGCACACGCGCGCTCTTCCGAGGTCTCTCGGAGCAGAGCCCCGTCGAGTCCTCGAAAGAGCTACCCATGGGTCCTCGGAGAGGGTACCCTGGGTGGGCGGGGCCTCTACTCGCCAGGTACTCCATCGGGGCGAGCCCTGGATGAAAGAATTTTACGACAGTCCCTCGCACAACACTGGGCACGGGACTGGCGCGCACTGGCACTAACACAGGTACACCACTGGAGCCGCCTAAGCGACTCCCGCGAGGACGGCGAGGCACTTAGCTCCGTGCACTCGATGAAAAGAATTTTACAACTCCTCCCTCGCACGCCTATCGATCCGTCGTTTCGTGGTTCAATGGAGTCCCGCATCGCCAATAGTGTGCTCATCGAGCTCATCAGCTCGGAATCTCTGGGTCTGGCTCAGCACCGTCACCGTCCTTCGCAGCGATGGGCGGCGCTCGGCGGCGGTGATGGGCGCGGATCCTCCAGCGGCACAGCGATGAGCGCGATCGTGAGGAGGCATGAGGTCTTCATGGCGGGGGGTGCGTCGTCCCAGCAACACGGGGAGCGACCAGCTCCCAAAGCCGCGGGGGGGCGTCCCAAAAGAAGAATTTTGCTCCGTGTTGTGCAAAAGAAGAAGTACGCAATCCGCGCCTTCGATTCACGCGTGTCACGTCCCGCAGCTCCCGCCGATCTCCCGCTAACGGATCTTACCCCTCCTGTAACCTCTCCTTATGGAATTCCTATTTAACACACAACAACTCTCTCTCACAGCAGACAGGCTCGACACAGGCGCGGACTAGTAACAAGCATCAAAATTCCTCTCGGCCGCCTTCCCTCCCCCACTTGCGCAAGCCAACCCTCTTTTACGCTCAGAGATCCTCCATGTCATCGAGGTCCGCCTCCGCCTCGAAGCCGCCTCCGGCGCTGTACGCGGCGGATGCCACCGGCGACCAGACGGCGTTGAGCTCCTTCGCCTTCTCCTCAAACTCTCTCGCCGTGGAGTCCCGTATAAGTGAGATCGCCGATGTAGACGTCATTTGAGCACTTGAGCACCGGATAGGGTCGATTCCGCGTCGGCGGCTCTTGCTCCTTTAGCTCGCACGGCTGCCGGTATCCGAGCGCCTCCTTTCTCGCCCTCGCCATCTGTTCCGCCACGTCGCCGGCGTCACTCCCTCTCTTGACCACTACGACTATACCGTCGTGCTGCAACGACAGCACTGCGTGGCCGTTGCGCGCGGCCCAACGCACCTTTTCGCCCTTCGGCTGATACTCTCCGCCTCCTGAAAGGCGAACGATTTGACTGTGCGTTCCGGGTGCCCCTTCCCTGGCTTGTGGTGCGCAATCCAATCCGTGACAAAGCGGGTCATTCCCGTCCTCTCCTCCAGGCTATTGAATTGCTCAGCCAGAGTGTGCCCTCGGCTTGCGCCTGAAGGTACGCCCCAAAGTCAAAGGAGCCTCCGCCCTCTAGTCCTACCCTTGTCTGCTTCAGTTTGTCCTTGTCTCCAACCCCCACCTCTCCGCCCACGTCGCCACATTCCCGGCCATGTCGATCGAGGCTAAGAGCGTCTTCACCCGCGCACGTCTCTCCCGCCGCCCCTCTCCCTGGAACAAGGCCGCCCCCATGCTGCTTAGGATTTCCTCCCTGTTGCTCAGGAATTGCTTTGTCACGCCGCTCCCCGGCCCCACCATCTGCACTCGCGCTCGCGGGTGCGCCGCAGCATCATCAAAGTCGTGGAACGGGCCAAGGGCCAGCGTCCGGAGTCGGCGTGGCAGCGCAAACGGATCGACGTCACGGTCCGGCGGCACCGCGTATTCCTTCGACGTGCTCACTAGCCCTGCGTCCACCAGCGCCGCCCCCATATGTCCGTACCCCAGTATCTCACGACGACGGTCGCCCATCGCGCTCCGGCCCGTCTACTCGCCCTCCCAAGCAGCTTTCTGAGTTCTAAGGTAAGGTAAGGTAAGGTAAACTTCTCCACAGTTCTGTATCATCTCCCGCTCCACATGGCGTTAGGGGCGTGTGCGAAGATAAAAAGAATTTTCGTTCCGATCAAGAAGGCCGAACTCGCGATAAACTTCTTCGTGGCCACGGGGGGGCTGTGAAGTGTGATAACTCGCCCGGTCATACACACCGTTTTGAACCCAAATCGCCGGACTTTTACCCCACACCCCCATCCTATGGCAGCCTGTACACCGATACGCTTCGACTTCGAGTACCGTACGCTGTACAGACAGTATCCACGAGCGTGCGAGCGGCCCGACCATGCGATGGATCATGCGGATGGGTCCAAGAGCTCCACAGCGATGCACAGCGCGGCGCTGTCCTCTCTCACTCCAAGCTCTCACCCAATCTCACCGTGCGGCCGCCTCGAGCTTGCCCACCGCCGCCCCGAGCCGCTCGACGAGCCGCACAAACTCGTCGTCGCCGCTCGGCCCGTCGCGCGCCCACCGCTCGGCGTCGTGGTGCTCGGCCGCGTTGCGCCACACGCGCAGCGTGTGCATCTCGGCGTGCAGCCGCTCGGGCATCGCGCACGCGCCGCGCCAGAAGTCGAGGCGCACCTTGAACTCGGAGGGCGCCAGCGCCCGGTGCGGCGCGTACACGGCGTCGAGCCGGCGCACGAGGGCGTCGAAGGCGTCGGACGACTTGCGCTGTAGCCCGCGCACCTTGGCGGCACCGTCGGTGGCCGCCGCGGCGGAGCCCAGCTTGCGAACGAGCAGCGAGGGCGCGGAGGGCACGTACGAAGCGCGCGCGTCGTCCGCTGCCGCCACCGCCGCCGCCGCCGCCGCCGCTGCTGGCGCGTCCTCGGCGGCCTCGCCGCCGGAGGACGCGAGGCAGCCGTCAAGCGTCTCGAGCACCCTCGCGAGCTCGATGCGCTTGCGACGCTTCGGGTGGCACAGCCCGTCGCTGCGCGAGTGCACGAGCGCCGCAAGCTTCTGGGCGACGTGCGTGGGCCAGGCGGGCTGCGCAAACCTCTCGGCGGGGATGTCCTCAAAGTCGGCGTCATGCTCGGCCTCAATCTTCGTGATGATGTCGAGGGGCGATCGGTTGGTGAGGATGACGAGCAGCGTGATCCCCACTGCGTACCCGTCGGTGATCACGCTGTGCCCCTCGCCCGACAGGATGAACTGGTCGGCGTATCCCGGCGTGTAGCACGCGCCGCTTCGCGTGGTGAGCGAGGCGGCGGCACCCGTCGCCGCCGACTTGGCGAAGCCCGTGTCCGAGAGGTACGCGGTGAGCCGCTCGTCGAGCAGGATGTTGGCCGGCTTGAAGTCGCGGTGGATCACGGCGGGCTTGCCGCCCGCGATCGCGCCGTGCAGGTAGGCGAGGGCCCCGACCGCCTCGCGCACGATCCGCAGCCGCTGCCGCCACGTCAGCGGCTTGGGCTCTCGGTCGGCGAAGAGACCGAGCCGACGGAGCTGCGCGCAGTCGTCGGCGGCGAGCCGTAGCCGGCTCTCTAACGAGCCGCCGGTCATGAGGGGGAAGACGAGGCACGGCGCGGCGAGGTCGAGGCAGTGGCCGAGCAGCGGCAGCAGGTGCGGGTGGCGGCACTGCCGCAGGATGGTAATCTCGCGCTCGAGCGCCTGCAGCTCCGAGCTCGAGTGGACCTCGTGCATCTTCTTGACCGCGACGAGGCAGCTGCCCGCCTCGGGGTGGGGCAGTGCGCCGCGGTAGACGCTGGCGCAGCCGCCCTTGCCCACCATGCTCGCCGAGCTAAACTGCTCCGTCGCCTCTTGCAAGGGCGCCAGCGGGATGGGGAGCACCTTGAGCTGATCGCCCTCGTGTGGCCAGTCGGCGGCAACGGCCATGCCGCTCCGCTCCACCGCGACCGGCTCGGAGGCGACAGACAGCTCTTCCAGCTTCGACTCCGCCGCGCTAACCTCGTCGGCCAAGGCAGGCAGCGCGCCCATGTGCGGCATGGCAGCGGCGATGCCCGCTCGGAGCGCGGAGGGGCTGTTCGCAGTGTCGAGCGACTTGAGCGCGCCCATCGCCGCGCCATGCGCCTTGCGCAACCGCTGGCTCTCCCGCTTCCGCGCCTCCTTCAGCTTGTCGCGCGCGCGCCTCGCCTCTGCCAGCACGGCCGGGCTCGCGAGGCCGCTGCACGCCTCCAGAGCGCTCGCTAGGCCGACGTACGAGCCAGCAGCCACGGCTTGCTGCAGTGCCTCGTCCGCCGCAGCGATGGCGGCTGCGTCGGCGGGAGGAGGAGATGGGGCTGGCGGTGGGGTTGGCGGCTGCAAAGCGGCGGTGGCGCTGGAGCCAGGTGCCGCGTTGTCTGCCTCACCGCCGCCGCTCTTCTTCTTCTTCTTCTTCTTGCCCTTCTTGCTCTCCTTGGCGCGCTCCTCCTTCTCCGCTTCCTCCTCCGCCAGCAGCGCCTCGGCATGCCGCGCCGCCTCCGCCTCTGCCGCCGCTCTCTCCGCCTCCCTCGCCGCCGCCGTCTCCGCCGCCGCCGCCGCCGCATGCTCCTCGATGGCGCGCACGCACTCGGAATAGCCCTTCTCTTTGGCCAGCTGCAGCGCTGTCTTGCCGTTCTCAGCGCGCGCCGCCGTGTCAGCGCCCACCCGCAGCAAGCGCCGCACGACGGCGGGGCGGTTGAAGCTGGCGGCGTGATATAGCGCGGTGAAGCCTTCGCTCCTCTGCAGGTTGACCTCCGCGCCGTGCCGAATCAGCAAATCGACGACCTGCTCGTGGCCGTAGCCGGCGGCCTGCATCAGCGCGGTCATGCCGACGTCGCTCATCTGCAGGTTGACATCAGCTCCACGCCGTATCAGCAAATCGACCACCTGCTCGTGGCCGTGGTGGGCGGCGTACATCAGCGCAGTCCAGCCGGTGCTGTCCTGCAAGTTGACCTCCGCTCCGTTCCGCAGCAGCAGCTCGACCACCCGCTCGTGGACGTTGGTGGCGGCAAACATCAGCGCGGTGCGGCCATTGCTCTCCTGCAGGTTGACCTCCGCTCCGTTCCGCAGCAGCAGCTCGACCACCCGCTCGTGGCCGTGCTGGGCGGCGCTCATCAGCGCGGTGCCGCCTTTGCTGCTCTGCAAGTTGATCTCAGCGCCGTGCCGCAGCAGCAGCTCGACCACCCGCTCGTGGCCGTGGTTGGCGGCGTTCATCAGCAGCGTGATGCCGCTCACCTCGCCTCTCTCGTACGTCGCGTTGACCCGCCCGCCGCCGTCGAGCCACGCCAGCACCGCCTTCTCCTCGCCTCGTCCAACCGCTGTCACGACCTCGTCAGGGACTTCCACGACACCGCTCAGCTCCGCCGCCGCCGCCGACAGATTAACCGGCCGGACTAGCACGCTCTCGACGCCGCCCTCGAGCGCCACCGCGTACCGCCCGCCCTCAAAGCTCCGCGCCTCGCCCCGCCGCCCGTTCAGCTCGGGGCAGGCCGAGAGCCCACCAAGCACAACCCGCTGCCCGAGGAGCGGCGCGTCTTCAGCTGCCGCTGCCGCGCCCGAGGAGGCGCCGCCCGCCCCTGCTCCGCCTTCTGCAACCGCCGCCGCGACCACTGCCGCCTCAGACAAGACCTTGACGCACTCGGTGTTGCCCTCCCCCTTGGCCATCTGCAGCGCCGTCTTGCCGCTCGCACTGCGCGCCGCCGCGTCGGCGCCCTCGCGCAGCAAGCGGGTCACGACGGCGGAGCGGTTGAAGATGGCGGCGTACATCAGCGCGTTCCAGCCGTCGCTGCTCTGCAGGTTGATCTCCGCGCCGCGCCGTATCAGCAGCTCAACCATCCGATCGAGGCCTTGGCCAGCGGCGTACATGAGCGCGCTTTCGCCGACGCTGTCCTGCAGGTTGATCTCCACGCCGTGCCGAATCAGCAGCTCGACCACCCGCTCGCGGCCGTGCTGGGCGGCGGCCATCAGCGCGGTGCGGCCGAGGCCGTCCCGCAAGTTGGTCTCCGCGCCGTGCCGCAGCAGCAAGTCGACCACCCGCTCGTGGCCGCTGAAGGCGGCGTACATCAGCAGCGTGAGGCCGCCCAAGCCTTCTCTCTCGTACGTCGCGTTGACCCGCCCGCCGCCGTCGAGCCACGCCAGCACCGCCTCCTCCTCGCCTCGTCCAACCGCTGTCACGACCTCGTCAGGGACTTCCACGACACCGCTCAGCTCCGCCGCCGCCGCCGACAGATTAATCGGCCGGACTAGCACGCTCTCGACGCCGCCCTCGAGCGCCACCGCGTACCGCCCGCCCTCAAAGCTCCGCGCCTCGCCCCGCCGCCCGTTCAGCTCGGGGCGGGCCGAGAGCCCACCAAGCACAACCCGCTGCCCGAGGAGCGGCGCGTCTTCAGCCACCGCGAATGGAGCCGAAAGGCCCACCACCCAGGCGCGAGCCATGGGGCCTCACAGTCATGGGGCCTCACAGCGAGAGATCGAGCTCTAATGTCTAAACCGCGCACTGTAAACACTCAAGCGTCAAGGCGTTGATTCCAAAAACAAAAAGTTAGACTTGTTTGTTTGTTTGGTATTGGTATTGCTAAAAATCTCTCTCTCTCTTGATTCCCGGGTGCGGGCTGGAAGTCCGATCCCCGCCCCGTCCCGCCCCCCCCCCGCCGCCCACCCTGCCTGCCGCTCAGATGCCCGCCATGCGGCGGCGGGGCGCGTCGGGCTTCGGCGGCCTCCGGCGGAACGGCTCGTGGTGAAAGTACTTTGGCCTCCGGTCGAACCGGACGTGCAGCCACGGCACACCTGTCCCCTCGGTTGAGATCCACGTCGGCTCGCTCTTTGCCGCCGCCTCGCGGGCCGCCTTGCCGACGGCGCGCCAGAGCGCGTCGCGCGTCGCCGCCGGCGCGCCCTCCGCAAAGGCGCCGAGGTGAGCGTACGCGTCAAGCTGCTGCGGCTGCCCCTTTGCCGCGGGCGGGCAAGGCACGACGAGGGTCGCGTCGCCGCCGAGGTTGGGGAAGGAGGTGGCGAGGCAGGGGGCGGCGGCGGAGAGCTGCACGGCAAAGGCGGACGGGTCCGCGCGCGCGCCCGCGAGCCTCGGCGCGCGCAGCGTCGCCATCTCAAACAGCGCGCCTCGGCTCTCCTTTGAGAGAGGCGCCGTCTCCCAAAAGAGGGCGGGCGCGTGCGGCGAAGCTCGCAGCGACTCGTCGATGAGCGGACCGAGCTCGCCGCTCTCGAGCGCGTCGATCGCAGCCGCCCACGTCAGCGGCGCCCCTCGCCGCGAGAAGCGGACCACTCGAGCGCCGTCGCCCGGCTCGTCGCTCGAGCTCGCGGCGAGGGCTGCAGCCGCCCTGTCCGCCGCCCTCGGGTCGCGCGGCTGCAGCGCGGACGCCGCTGTGGTGAGCGCCGTGGCGGCTATGACCGCGATGACCGCCGCCGCGGCGAGGATGGCGGAGAGGAAGAGGCACGGCAGCGCGCCAACGTTTGTCTTGATGGTGGGCTCGTCGACGCTCACGCCGGCGGCAGAGACGGTATAGACGCGGGAGCGGGAGGAGCCCTTGCTCGTGATTGGGCTCGATGCGGAGGGAGAGCTGGCGGACTCATCTGGCATTGAGACGACAACCTACCAGCGACTTCTTCGGCTTGAGCAAACTGCGACCGAAAAGAATTTAGACAAACCAACTCTCTCTCACAGCAGACAGGCTCGACACAGGTGCGAACTGGCGCGTGCTAGTACTATCACCGGCACACCACCGGAGCCGCCTAAGCGACTCCGTTAAGAATTTTTCCGCGAATTTGTTCCGACATGGACATGTCGCTATGCGCTCCCCGCTCCCCTTCCCCTGTTTCCCCATCGTCCTGGCGTTTGCCGGCGCCTCAAAGAAATTCCACGCGTACCGCTGCCATTTCTCGAGCATTTGGGGTAGGTTGGGCGGCGTCTGCGACTGCACCAGGTACCACGCACAGGATTGCACGTGATTCTTGATGACTATATTTCGGCCCCGTCTTGAGCGAGGCATGCCTCGTCCCACCCATCGCTCATACCGCTTCTCCATCTTTGCCGTCACAGTCTCCTCCCACTTGCGGGCTATCCTCTCTGGGGCGCCGAGGAAAATGCCGAGATATCGGATGAGCGGGCTCGTTGTGTTGATGTCGCGTCCCTCCTCCCACCCCTGCGGCAGGTCGGTCGAGTCCCGGAGCGACCCGACCCTCATGCCAAAAGTCTTAGACCATGAGTTCAGCGCGCCCGACCCGTCCTCGTAGATATTTAGCAGTCGTTTGAATTCATTGAGCTGGCCGGTGTTTCGTAGGAATATGATCAAATCGTCGGCGAACCCTAGCACTTTTAGGGTGTGGCGCAGTTGGTCGTCGCCTCCCGTCCCGGGAATTTCCACTCCCTGGAGAGTGTCGGTTGTGCTGATGAGGGAGAGGAAGCTCTGTATCACCAAAAGGCCTCCTTGTGACACTCCGTTTGTCGGTCTGAACGCCCCTCCAATGTGCGAGTTGACCTTGACTTTGTACTCGCTGTTCTCGTATAGTATTTCTACCATTCGCCTGAAGTCCTCGTGAATACCCATCGATTGCATCACCTGGTGCATAAAGTCCCATTGCACTCGCGGGTACGCATTGTCCTGATCGCAAAAGAGTAGAAACCCCCCCTCCATGAGCTCATCCGCCCATGCGATGTAATCTTGCACGAGCTGTGTGTTCTCGACGATGAGTTTTCCGGCTTGGAAAGCCTTCTGGTCCGGGGAGACTAATTTCGCTAGGAGTGGCCGGATGCTGATCACCATCGCCTTCTCCATAATTCTCACAATTGCGTTTGAGACGCCGATTGGTCGGTAGTTTTTGAGGCTCAAACGGCTTCCTTTTTCTTTGTAAAGTAAGGATATGATGGTGGTGCGCATTCCTTCCGGCGTAATGCCGTCCGCATGGATCTGAGCAAAAGCCTCGCTCATCAGTGTTGCCAGTGGGCTTGGCATCTCAATGATCTCCGTTTCCCCTGTGGCGGGGTCCCTGCGCGGCACTCTGATTCGCGCTCCAACCACTTTGTAGAAGTCGCTCGAGACGCCGTCTTCCCCCGGCGTCTTGCCCGACGCCATCTCTTCGATCGCATATTGCATGACGTATATCGTCCATCACAATGGCTGCCAAAGTCGAGCTCGCGTCCAGCAGCGGCGGCCCTCCACTTTGTATTCGCCACACGCCTCCACGCGAGATTATCCGAGATTACCCGAGATGCCTAAAATGTGTGTGTGTGTGTGTCTGTCTGTGTGCGTCGCATGTGACGGTCCGAGAACAACCACTAATTATGCTACATCCCCATTCTCTCAGCTTTTGTCGCGTCCCGACTGATTCTTCTCTGCTTACCGCCCCTGTTCTTTCCTCTGGGAGCCCTGCGCCGCTTCCCCTCAGACTTCCCTTCATTCCCTGCAGTGGCCTCCGCGCTACCCCCGGCTTCCTCACTCGATGGTCCCCCTCCTCTAGGCTCACGAGGCTTCGAGCGAACAGGTGTCCCCTGAGGGCTAGGGCGAGCTAAGACTAGGTGCTCCAGCGCGAAATTTTTTTGAAAGACGGCGGTTTCCGCGGAGTCATCCTCGTTGGGGGGACATCTAGACTGGCCATCGCAGAGCAGATTGTGAATGAGCTTGCCTGCGGCGAGGGCAGTCGAGTGCACGGAGCTAAGTGCCTTGCCGTCCTCGCAGGAGTCGCTTAGGCGGCTCTCGTGGTGTACCTGTGTTAGTGCCAGTGCGCGCCAGTCCCGTGCCTAGTGTCGTGCGAGGGAGTTTTATTCTCTTTATAAAATCGCGGCCGCCGACGGAAAATCCGAAGTCCGCGGTCTTCGTTGCCATGCTCCTGAAGTTGGTCCCGCTTCTCGTCGCGCTGCCAGCGTCTGCCCGGTATTCGCTCCGCCCTACTACAATGACTCACTCAGGCAGGCTGAGCCTCACACGCGCACACCGGCTAGGGGAGCTCCCACACATCCTGAGCGAACTTAGTTGAGTTGCGTGGAGCGCGAAAAAAATATTTTTGAAACACGGCGGTTTCCGCGGTTTTGGCCGCGGGGTGCATCTCGCGGGGTACATCTTGGACTGGCGCCGATGCTCAAGGCTGCCTCGCTTCTGTTCGTCGCTTTGCCGGCGTCTGCCCTGCCGGTGCGTCGCTCCGCCCTGCCGCAGTTCCTCACAACATGTACATGTACATGTAGGCTGCCTACACGCATCACACGAGTGCGCAGGCCAACACCGTCAACGACATCAACCCGACCGCTCGGGGCCTCGCCTTTGCGCCCAAGCCCTCGCCCGTGCCCGACGTGGTCGACGACCCCGCCTGGCTGATCGCCACCTCTGGCTTCTGCTCGAACCTCAACGTCATGATCAAGGAGCGCGACGTCGAGGCGAGCGAGACGGAGGGCGACACCGCGGCCCACTTCGTCGCCGACATCGAGTTCAACTACTACCCGCAGACGGCGGTCAAATTTACCGACTTCCCTCACCACCTCGCAAAGACCATCGAGGGCGATGCGGCCGAGGCGGACGCGCTGGCCTCCAGCGATTGGGACCACAAGAACATCGCGCTGCTCGAGCCGACGTCGACGTGCGGCGCTGACGAACAGAACGACCAGGCTTGGGGCATCTCGGTCTTCAAGGTCGAGGAGCACCGCCACTGCACTGACGGCGAGACCGCGTGGGACGGACACCCCTGCGTCCACTACTCCGGCTACGTCTCGGCGGCTACATCCAACTTTGTCAACGTGAATGAGGGGCGGTTCGTCTGCCAGCTGTTCGTCGACTCGGAAGTGGAAGGCTATTGCGTAAGTGTTTTATCACAGTCCAGCGTAGTTCTGGCCCGGTGCGCAGCAGCCTACGAGAACGATGGCGGCCAGAACTACGCCGAGGACTGCTGGGAGCCATGCGGACAAAAATCGGGGGACTGTGAGTGGTGCGGCGACTACTACCCGGGAGGCACCCACATGGCCTGCTGCCGGGCCAACGCGGGCGACTACACGGCGGAGTGTGTGGGCCGCGGCCCCCTTTTCTACCACGCATGCTACTGGCCGGCATCGGCTGGCGGCAAGAGGGGCGGCTTTTCTATTTGATATGGCTCCTCTAGCGAGGCACAGCGTTGAGTGGTGTTCGAGTCGTTCGGTGGGTTTGGGAAGGGGGTCGGCGAGATCCTCTGGGGGGCGGCGAACGTGCTGCAGAACAAGCTGACGCGGGCCCAGTACCTCGATGAGGTGACTTGGAGCTGGCTGGGGCTGCAGAAGCAGCGCATCTCAGTCGTTCTTCACACGGCCATCGCAGAGCAGATTGTGAATGAGCTTGCCAGCGGCGAGGGAGGTCGAGTGCACGGAGCTAAGTGCCTCGCCATCCTCGCGGGAGTCGCTTAGGCGGCTCCAGTGGTGTACCTGTGTTAGTGCCAGTGCGCGCCAGTCCCGTGCCCAGGTTGTGCGAGGAAGTCTTCGAAAATTCTTTTTTTCACGGCAGCCGGTGTCGGCGGCCGTTTATACCGCGCGGCGCGATGTTGCTGCTCCTGTGGCATTTGACGTTCGTCGCCCTCGTACTCGCCGCCTTTGCGGCCGCAGCGGCTTGTCTCGTGCTGTGGGTTCCTCGCTTCGTCCGCGAGCAGTGCGGCGGCTGGCTCTGCGACGGTCTGCGGGTACGGTGGCAGGCGCGGCCGCTCGCGCTCGTGCTCGAGAATGTCGCTGTGCGCGAGGAGTCGCTGGCCCTCGTCTGCTCGTATGCGATCGGCCTGCTGCTCCCGGTGACGCTACGCTCGCTCGAGTGCGACAGAGTCGAGCTCCGCCTCTCGGGTGGGCGGCTGCTCCGGCTGGCGGCCAAAGCGGCGGCGAGCAAAGCGAGGAGGAGGAGAGCCTCGGGCGGCGACGGCGAGCGGTTCGGCTCGGTCGGCGAGGCCGCGATCGACAGCATCGCTGCCGTCGACCCGCTCGCCGGGGCCGCGCTCACCTGCGTCTTTGTGGGCCTCCGCATGCAGCACACGCTGCAGAGGCCGGCAGAGTGGGCCGACTCAGCGCACGCGCAAAAGATGCTCTCTCCTCCGGCGGCCGAGCTCGCCGCCGCGCTTCCGGTCCTGCTGCAGGCCGGCTCGGCAGCCCTCGCGCAGAAATGGGCCCAGGGCGACGGCGGCGACGGCGGCGAGGGCGGCGAGGGCGGCGAGGGCGGCGAGGGCGGCGAGGGCAGCGACGGCGGCAGAGGCGAGGGGCGAGGCGGTGCCGAGATTTGCGACGGGCAATGCGACGCTACGGGGACGGCGCGCGAGGAGGCGCGGGCCGCGCAGGCGGCGGCGCTGCAGGCGGCTCGGGCGACAGGCGACGGCTGGGCGGTTGCAGACCCGATCCTGGCGCCTCCGGTGCGAGATACGGGGAGATGTGGGGAGATGTGGGGAGATGTGGGGAGATGTGGCGGACCCGATCCTGGCGCCTCCGGTGTGCTGAGGAGGCTGGCCTTGGCGGCAAGGCGGTGAGGCGGTGAGGCGGTGAGGCGGTGAGGCGGTGGGGCGGTGGGGCGGTGAGGCGGTGAGGCGGTGGGGCGGTGAGGCGGTGGGGCGGTGAGGCGGTGGGGCGGTGAGGCGGTGAGGCGGTGAGGCGGTGAGGCGGGCACCGTGAGCGATTCGCTGCTAATGGGGCGGAGGAGGTGTGGCTGGGTGAAGCGACATCTCCCGCCCCCCCCTCCTCCTCGTGCCTCAGGTGCGGAAGAGCTGGGGATGGCTCAAGCTGCTCAACTCGGTCGCCTTCGAGCTCGCCTCCGCCCAAGTGGCCCTTGCCTTGCCACCCCTGGAGCAGCCGACCGCAGAGCAACCGCCCCTCGACGCCGCCCCTCCTCCAACCGGCGACAGCCCCGAGCCTCGCCGCCGTCACCCCTCGCCCTCCGCCTCGGCGTTTGACGTCGCCGCCGCCGCCGCCGCCGCCGCCGCCGCCTCCAGCGCCGCCGACGCCGCCGCCGCTGCGCCGCCGCGTCTCGCGGCGAGCTCGGCCGCCCCTACCGCCACTCCTGCCACCATTCCTGCCTCCGTTCCAGCCGCCGTTCCTGCCGCCACTCCTGCTGCGCCCGCCGACCCGGCGGACAGGGCGGCGGACAGGGCGGCGGAGCGGGTTGCGGAGCGGGTTGCGGCGGCTAGGGCAGTGGCTGCGAGGCTAGCGGCGCGAGCGGCGAAGCTCTGGCCGAAGCTCCGAGTCGTCCTTCCGTCCTCTCGTGATGGGCGTGGGACGGTGTCGAATAGGCGAGCCCTGCCGTGGGCCCTGCTGGCGGCCCCGCCGCACCCTCCCGCGCCCCCCGCCCTTCCCCTCTGGCCGACCCGGCCGCGTGCTCTGTGCTGCTGCGGCTCAGCCGGGCGGTCGTCCGGCCGGGGCTAGGCGCTGCTGTCGGAGATGCGGAATCTCGCCACATCTCCCCACACCTCCCCACACCTCCCCACACCTCCCCGCACCTCCCCACACCTCCCCACACCTCCCCGCACCTCCCCACACCTCCCCACACCTCCCCACACCTCCCCACATCTCCCCACACCTCCCCGCACCTCCCCACACCTCCCCACACCTCACCGCACCTCCCCACACCTCCCCACCATCTCCCCGCACCTCCCCACACCTCCCCACCATCTCCCCACCATCCCCCCACACCTCCCCACACCCCTCGGTGCCGACTGATCAGCCAGCTTCCCACGCTCGAGAGTGCCCGAGCTTGCCACAGATCAGCCAGCTCCCCGGCACCGTCTCTCACAGCGGCATGCGCCCGTGCAGGCCCCCCTGCCGAGCCCGTCCCTCCCGCAGCGCTGCCCCCCGGCCAGCCGGCCCTGCAGCGCGGCGCGGCCGTCTTCATCGAGACGGCAGACCCCGAGGTGGACCCCCCCCCCCCCCCTAATCAACTCCTAATCGACTCTTAATCACCTCTTAATCACCTCTTAATTACCTCGAGGTGGACCTCCCCCCCCCGTCCTAATCAACTCCTAATCACCTCTTAATCACCTCTTAATTACCTCGAGGTGGACCCTCCCCCACCCCCCCTCGCAATCAACTCCTAATCAACTCCTAATCGACTCTTAACCGCCTT